CTCCCCTCCATATGTGGAGAGAATTGCAGATGTCTGTGAGGGTTGTTATGCTGTTCGAATTGTCGATGAATAGCGATGGGTACTGTTGTTATTTGTTTAGTATATCGCTTACGGAGTTAGGAGAGGTGTAAAAGAGGAGTGTGATTCGGTATGTGATTATTTGTGTCGGGGAGGTGGAGATATTTTTTTGTAAATACTGTAATTTGTATTTTGGTTTTTTATGATGTTATTGAGACATTTTGAGGGTTGACGCCAGATCGTAACTATTAAGGAGGTAAACGTCGTTTTGAGCTATAAAGGGAAAATATGAAGTATTAGAGTAAAGGGTAGACAAAAAGCTAGTGTTTGTCTTTTGAACGTATGATTACGGTTTTTAAACATCTTTCTTCTTCGCTTATCATGTACTTTTCTGGCTTTATACTATTGTTTGGACCCGGTAAGATCTTAGAGCAAGGTGGAATGTAAAGAAACCTAGAAGAAAAATAATATCTAAAATATAGATGAATGAGAGTGGAATTAATGGTTATTATTTAAAAATTAGCTTTCATTTTCTTAAAACCGTTTTCAATACGGTAATCGATATTTTAGAGTATTGCCTCAACCAATATTTTAAGATCGTATTCGAGGATAGAAGGAAATATGGTGAAAATAATATTAGTGTGGTACTATATTACAGACACGTTTAGCCTCTCAGAGAGTAATGGTGAGTATAGGGATTCTAATGAGTGGTATATCGTGGAAAAATATGTACTAGGAGTGCCAAAAGAGACGCAAGCGAAACGATTGTTGCTAGGCTTTGCGGTATCCGCAAGCCCGGCCTGCCTCGCTGGGGCTGGCGCACGCGCCTGGCTGGTTCGCGCGCGAACATGAGTCGCACAACAATCGGGTGGGTGAGCAAGGCGAAGATGGGGGAAGGGGGGCGAGGTGAGGTGTTTTCGTAAATTTCACTTTACGACGCTCCTATTCGTCCGATGTGCATGATTGTCACGGCGTTGAATTCAGGAAGCATGTCGCCATCGCGTTATAAGCCCACATTTTTAATTTTTTTCTCGGACGTTTGAGAACTAATTTCAAATTCGAGATTTTGCTAGATTTTTCGGAAAAGGGCTTCGTAGCGTAAAAATTTAATTTTAAAAAGGCGTCAAATGCCGTTTACAGATCGAAAATCGGACAATTGGTTCAGACGTTATCGGTAAAGTAAATTTTACTTATTTTGGTGCTGCCACGTGTTGTACTAGTGTCGGGACATTAAGCCTTAAGAGCAGCCGGAAATGCCGTTTCCTGCTGTACTTGGGAGAGCCGATAAGAGCGCAGAGGGAAAGGAGGAATAGCGCCTCCTTTGTTCAGCTGAACCCACGCCGGACGCATGGGGAAATACGCCACCCACACCCCCAAACCGTCGGGATGTATGGGGAAATATGCCACCCACACCCCCAAACCGAGACACGGAATTACCCGAGCCTATTTCTGAGAATTTAAGTAACGGAGGAAACTTCGGGGGAAGTTGCCGGGGACGGCTTTGCCGCTGGCGCCGTGATAGGCGGAAGTATCTACGGGTGGCGCGACGACCAATTAAAATAGACGATGCGGGGGAGGAATCACGTGGCACGCGAGCCTTCCTGAGGGACCGCCGATGAAAGGATCGATCACTTGTTTCGGAGGCGGCAGGGGGATCACTTGTGTCGGAGGTAGCGAGGAGATCAACTTGTCTCGGAGGCGGCAGGGGGATCACTTGTGTTGTGAGGTAACCGCGAAATGACTTGTTTGTGAGGCAGCCGCGAGGACACTTCCTTTTGAGGCAGTAGCGCCTCCACTTATTTCGTGCCTGTTCGCCCCGAATGCCACGCCTCATCACCACATCGCAGCCCGACTCGTGTGACAGAAGACGAACGATGGGACGGGACACTACGAGTGAGTGCCTGACCGAAAGGGTCATGTGAGTACGAGCCGGGGGCGTGAAAGGCAATATTGCGAAGCAACCCGTCATCACCCGGGCGCGTTCCCGCCGCCGCCCGCGCCAAGCAACGCTGAGGAGTAGCCGGTCGACGCACGCCGCTGGCCTAATCCGGGGCCGCCGTCGAAGCCGCCGGGGCCGCGACCGCCGAAGGGGCCGCCACAAAGGGACCTGAGGCAAGCAACGACCGTAGCTGCCCGCCGCCAGACCTGCCGGGCGCTGGGATGCCCGAACGCCGCACCTGTGAGCTGGATCACGACCGCCCGGGAGGGCGAAGACACCGGAGCTAAGATGAACTCTGGCCATACCGGCCTTTTCTAAGTTAAGATTAGTTTTAAGTTAATTGTAAGTTTGTTTATGTTACTGGGCTTCTCCCGCACCGATTTCAAAAGCGATTAAAGTAGTATTAAGAAAATGCCTAATATTTCTCTCTAGTAGTTAGGCAATCACGCATGCCTCCCTCTAGGGAGTCTGCCGACGATGCAGCCGGGCAAAGCTGAATCGCCGAAGGAATCAGGTAATCGGGTGAGTCGGTGGTTACATTATATACATTAGATTTGTGAGTAAAAGTGCTTAAATTGATTGCCAATGAACCTTCTCGAAAACTCAAAAGTTTTGTGTAAAAATGAAATTATAATTGTGCATTTTCAGAAAATCTCAAACGACATATTCTCAAATACGTCTCCAAGGTTTTTAATGAAAATTGCAAATAGGAACAAGTTTTACTCTTCTATATTATTCGTAAAATCATTTTATTTCAGATAAGTGGAAAATTTAAAAACTGTGGAAGAGTGGAATGATTAGAAAACTAACAAGTACGCGAAAGTCCGTGCCATTCAGCAGCACCACTTTTTTCTAATATTGGAAAATAATTAGTAATATTTCGGCTTGATTAATAAAACTAATAAATTTTCATTATTTTTTCTAAATAGTTTGTTCAGTACTGTTATTTTTTTAAAACTATACTGTGTGTTTCTAATTCATATCACCTGAAGCTTGTTTAGTCACTAATAGTAAGACTGAACAAATATTTAAGTATTACGTCAAATTGTAATTGGGGCTCCAGTTTTATATTCGTATTTTGGCAATGGGGCAGTCTCGGCATAGCATAGACTAACAGAAATGTGACAAACTCCTTTTTCTCTACAATTGATTAGGTTTTAATATTTCATTATATATAACATGATTTTCGATTCTTCACAACATCCATAGTAACTTTTTATTAGAGAACTTCTCAGTACTCACACCAAATTCTCTTTATAATATAGTTTTTTTTTCATTCCCCCGCGATGCACCGTTTCGCACAAGTTGACGCACACTCGCGTTCAATTGTGTTTAGTTGCATCCATCGACAATTGAGGGTGCTGTGTATAATATAGTTGCATCAATTCATATCCTTTGTTTTTTGTGGGTGGCTTTGTATTTGACAGCATCCAGCTGATTGTTTCAATAACATCATAATTTGTCCACTGTTTTCGCTACAATACGAAATTTTGAAGTATACATCGAGTGAGTGTGTGCAAATATTTTATTACGCAAGAATATGTCATGAATTCTCTGTGAGAATGGCATTTTCGAAAATCAATACAGAAACATAACCCACATTTTACTGCGTTCATAAGTTGGCTGTTGCCTTCTGCTTTTTAAATAGTAGCAGTAAATAAGACTTATGGCAGAAATGGAAAAGTGTAAGCCACCCAAGGTATGAACATATTTTACCATTGTCAAACAATGACAGTTGCCAGAAATAATAAATAATGTCATTCGTAGTAGATTCTTAAACTAATGTTATTAACAGTTCATTATTATCAATTTTTCTTGCTTTTGCATTTTATAATGATATATGCATTATTTGCCCTGACAGAACAAAAAGAAAGGAAGACACAAACAGGAAGATGGAGAAATTGATGGATCCATTCCAGAAGTTCCTAAATTAGAAGAGTTAGTGGGTACTAGCTTTCAAGATGCTGCTAGTTATGCTAACGATACTCAAAACTATAAATTCATAGAAAGTGAAATTAAGGATGCTGTTGAGGAGAATGCATCTTCTGCTGCTAATTGTAAAATAGAAACTCCGGAAGAGAAACATAGAGAGGAAGAAGTGATTGAGATACCTGTGTGTGCTCTGGACATTGATCTTTTATCTGTCTCTGATGTTAAAATTGATATTACATCCACCCAGCCAGTATGTTTTCAGGAAATGCAAGAAGGTGGTGTGGCTGCTGAAGACAGAAATCTCTCAGGAACTGAAATGAAAGAAATACATTCCTATTCAGTCACTGTTGCAGATGTTGTGCAAGCTGATACACGTTTAGAATCACCTCTTCATGCATCAGATGCAAAGTGGAGTAAACCAGTTGTAAATGAGGGTTGTAAACCGTCTGCACCATTACCTTCACTTAATGAGAATGTTTTATATCCAGTTCTTCATGAACAAGGATCAGTACCCTCTGCACCTGCTATGACTTCTGTAGTTAAGAAAGATATACCAGTATGCCCAGAAATTGTACAACCTCCTCCTTCAAGAATAGAACCAGTTTATCAGGAACGTGTCCATGAAGTTGCCGAAGAATTCAGGCCTTTATCCGAAGTGCAATTGTTAGCATTGTACAATAATTCTGAATTGGAATCCAATATAGAATTTGTCTCTGAATTTGTTGAAAGTCAATTGCAGGGAATTAAACAACAACATCACCTTTATGAACTTCTAGTTAGTTACTTAAGAGCAAGAAACAGATTAATTGTCAATTCAATGGAACTGGAATCCTTAAAGAAAGAATGTAAAGAGCATCAGAGTTGTTTGTGGACTGTTGAAACCTCTATTGTATCAGAAAGTGGAGAATGTCAAGATGGGAACCCTGTGTCAGCATCCCATGAATACAAAGTATCACACTTCAATAAACTTGCTTTGGCTGCACTTCAGCGCTCTTTAACATCAATTAAAGATCTTGTTAATGAGGTTCAGTCACTAAATTCTTATTCTTCAGAAGTATTGAGACTTCAAATTGAGCATTATGTTCAGAGTGTTGCTTATTCATGTCCTGAATTTTCTCATCTACCTCATAATGCTCCAGTAAATCTTATTGCAGGTGACCCGCCGTTACATGTTCTGCCACATATGACTGAACTTCGAGTATGTGTATCAATTTTATTTACATTTCAGAGAAGAGTTGTTAAAGACCTTCAATTTGTAAATGATACCAGAGATTGGCTGTCAAGATTAGTTGCTATTCTTTTACGTGTTGCTTCATGGAAAGATCATTTGTTTCTGTTGAACCATGTGTTGAGATGTCCTGCTGGAGTGGGATCTTGGGCTTCTAGCTTTATCCAGCCCCCTCCTCCAGTTATCCTTCCTGCAAACAGAGTTCAACATGAATCATCTCCTTTTACAAACCCTAATTTAGATCACATGGTTGCAGCATTGGCTACAATTTTGTTGCCTGTTAGAGAACGAGAACATTTTCTAGAACAGGCAAGTTAAAAATTACATTCTTTACATGAAAATATGTTAATTGACTAGAACTATCATTATTATTTTCTGTAATTTTTCAGGTGCAGTCATCATTGAGAGACTCTGTTGCAAGAGAGACTGAAAGTGATAGTTTATGGGTGTTAATCGATTCTGAAGGAGAAGAGGATGAAGATGTGAGCAAGTCATGTTGGTCCATTCTTAAAGAAAATGACTTGGTGGCATTGTTAAATCAAATTCCCCTGGATTACATGTTCAGACATGTATTGCTTGTTGATCGGCGAGATGAAAGGTAGATAAAAACAGTACAGCAATTTAATGCACAAGTTGTCTTTGTAAGTTTTGTTGAACTATTTTATATTTGTTTTCATCAATTTCATCACCTCAACCACCCAAGGAACTTGTGAAGGAAAGATTATCTTAATTTGCACCTTCTAGATATTCATTAAAAATATCTAGATAAGCAAATAAAAAATCAGAAAGCAAGAACATGAATTTCACAACTTTTAGTTCAGCTAGTATTCTTTTGGTTGGCTGAAGATTTTTGTGTTTAAACTAGGTTGAGTGTACATTTGGTTAATTGTGGTTCATCAAGGATATAGCAAGGAAATTATGACTTCAGATTCCTACTTGAAAGAAGGAAGTATTTTCTTTATTTCAACTAAACTTGTAAAACAGTACATTGAAATGTACTTTAACTCTCCAAGGGTGAGAATTAGTTTACATCAAAAATCTTGAATTTCTTTAAATTTTTTTAATTCAGCAACTTAAGATAAGCCCCAATAAATTACTTCATGTTTCAGTGAAGAGGGGGGGGGGTAATGTATTCCTCTGACCTTTGGGGGGATAACTATACTGGTTGGAGAAAAAGAAAATATTGAACAAGGTAACTGTTTATTTGCAAAACATAGACTTTAAAAACAAAGACAAACATTTTCTTCTTCTTCAAGTAGATGAGCAGTTTAATCATAGTGAATGTCCAAATCTCACTTTGACCTCTTCGATGACAGAGCTCTCAAACCCAAAGCTTTGACAGCTTCCTTATATCTTGTAAAGTATGTGATGGCAATGCCTCTTCTGAATTCCTTTTCGTCCTTTCTTCGTGTAAATCTTCCAAGCATTACTTATTACGTCATCTATGAGCCTTATCAATATTGCCCAGTTCCATTTCTTTCCTCTGGTAGGCTATTAGTTTCATATTCATATTTTCCTATGATAAACTGGTCGTCGGAAAAAAGTAATGTTGAGATCTCAACCTTGGTAATCCTAAAAACATATTTTAAAGTCATTAACCATTTTTTAATAATCACATCTATATACTATATATTAAAAGGCATTGGCGGGAGCAAGCATCCCTGTCTTACTCCCTGGTTCTCTTCCATTTAGCATTCGGATCTTGATTTTGTTATTTCTGTAATCATCTTTTAAGGCTGACTAATGCTTTTATGTAATCAAGAAAGACATAGTATGTTGGTAGCTTTAATTCCATTCACTTTTTAGTGAGTTGTGTCAATACAATTTGAACATGATCAACCTTTTCTAAAACCATGTTGTGATTCATATATTTGAGTTTCCACAACAGGCACTAATCTTTGATTTAAAATTTTTGTTAGATTTTATGACAAGAATTTAGAAGATTTATACCTCTATAATTTGAACATTCAGATTTGTCGCCTTATATAGTAGGTAAATTAGGGCTTCATTCCATTCTTCTGGCACATATCCATTCTGCTAGCAGATATTAATAAAGTTGAGAAGTCTCAGCATAAATTGATTCACTGCGTATCTGATCAATTCTATGTTTATATTATCAGTACCAGTTGACTCTTTATTTTGTCCTTAGGTTTCGGTTAGCTATTCGAACTTGTCGCATATTCTTGCCTGCTGCAATTTATCGCTGCCCAAAATACATTTTTCTAATGTTTACTTAATTTTTCAGTTTCCCTATTATAGAGTGGAAATATCATTTTAAGATTATTAAAGAACATTAAAACCTCGCCATTAATGTCAATTTTCTTTGAAAAATTTGGAGCCGTTTAAGAAACTGGCATTTAAGCGCTACTGTAAATTCGAAATTTGAAGGTTTTTTTCGAAAAATTTTCAGTTTTCAAAAAACTTAATTTGATGTCATTTTAAATACTTTAACTCACAAATACAAGTGTTTACAAATTGCTGGAAATGTTTATATCAACAGTGTGAGAGATCTTTCAAAATATTTACATTTGTGTTATTTTTGGAAAACAAAAAAAACACACACACACACACACCATATTAAAGAGTGCAATTAGCACTAACTGTTCGAAATGTTTGAAGAAAAAATTAGGAGCCATTTTTGAGAAACTGGCATTTGAGTGTTTCTGAAAATGCAGAGTTTGAGCTAGTTTTCACAGAAAACGTTAGAGTTTTTATGACATTGTTTAAAGCACATGTATTTATAAATACAATGTTACCAAATTGCCACTAATATAAATATTAACACCATGAGAGGCAAGTCAAAAAATACATTTTTGTAGTGTCTATGTCTTCTTGTAGAGTACATTTCGCAATATCCCTACTAAAAGTTTAAAGAAAAAATTTGGTGCCATTTTTGAAAAAATCTTGTTTTTGTAATTTTTTAAAATTCCACGCAATGTTGCACGAAATCTGCTAAAATTAAAAAAAAAAAAAGTACATGACCTGAATGAAAGAATTCAGTATTGATGACAAATTTTATTTGAAGGAAAAATGTAATTTATCAATTTTGTTGTTTATCAGTTAAAGGAAGACGCCGAAAACAATTCATACTTTTGAAATTTTCGAAAATTCAGAGTTAACCATGAAAATCGGACCTTTGTCACGTTTATAAGTGTATGTTACTCTATTCTTACAAGATATTTAAAGAAAAAATTTCGAGCTGTTTTGGAGAAAATTTTGGAAATATTCGGGGGGCTTTATGTAAAGTATCCCCAAATTTTAAAGACTTTATTTTCAAAATCTCAAAGCTTCGACTCAAGCCATATAGACATGGGTTTCTTCAATTTGGAAAAACATCCGACGCATGGTTTAGTTGCTAGTAGTGTTCAGACATCAGAAGGACGTTTTGAATAAAAAAACGAACATTTTTTCGGTATAAGGGGAACGTTTATTTTCGTCGAAATCGATTTTCCGCAACATTACAAAACTTTCCCTATAGTACATATACGGGAAAATAGAAAGGAAGGTGATGGTATATTTTTGGCTTCAGATTCGGATTCAGCGCGTCGAAAGACATCGAAACACGCGTGTAAAGAGTGTGTGTGAGAACTCTTTTTTTGCTTATGTAGTTACTGAATTTCGTGGGGGGGGGGGTTCCCTCACCCCCCCCCCCCGTGGATCCGCGCCTGACAATAATCTAAACTAATAACCGCTAATGTAAAATATTAACGATGCGAGAGAAGTCAAAAGAACTACGTTTTTTGTATTTTTGAAAAACAAAAGCATAGAGCAATATGGCGTTGTCTAAGAGAAAATTTAGTACTACACATATTAAAAAGTTTTTAAAAAAATTTTGTTTCAAGAATATCTTGGTTTTATTATTTTTTAATACAAATGCACGTAATAGAGTGCGAATTTTTTTTGTAACAAATGCACGCAATAGTGTGCGAAAACTACTAAAAGTTTAAAAAAATGTAGATCTTAATGAAATAGCCAACCGAGGAGAAAAAAATTTACTTGAGTAAATCTCTATCTTTAATAGAAAGAGAGAGACTGGGAGAGAAAGAGAGTGACAAAGAGAGAAAGTGACAGAAGAAGACTGTGAGAAAAAGAGGGAGGGAGATTGAGAGCAGGGCGCATCTGCTGGGTTTCCCCTGAAGTAGGATTGAGCAAAAAAAATTTAAAACTTTTGAAATTTTTGGAAATTGAGAGTTATTAGTGAAAAATGGACCTATGCCACCTTTGTAAGTGTATTTTACTTCATTCTTTCAAATATTTTAAATAACAAAAATGTATCTCTGGCTTTATGTAAAATATCTCAAATTTTTAAAGAATGCATTTCAAAATACCATAGTATCGAGTCAAGTCAGATTGATCAGAGAGTATCCATTTCAAAAAAATAATATGTATGATTTAGGTGCTAGTGGTGTTAACGGACGGACATTTTGCGACATTTGAGACATTTTGCCGACAGTGTTTTTTTCAGGATCAAGAATGAATTCTGGCCACACTATGTGTTAAAGGATTTTTTTGTCTAAATTTAGCTACTGTATTTATCCACTTTTTCGTTATCAGAGCCCAACAATAAGAGTTTTTCTGCCGTAAATGCATTGTTTTTTCCCCGCAGCATTACATAGGGCTTAACTTTCTCTCTACTGTGTAATCGGTAGCGAGAAAGTAATAAAATACAAAATTATCAGTTTTCGTACCCAGTGACCTAGGATATTAGCAAGAATCTGCAAAATATTTGACAAGCTGTAAAATGTTAATGATTTTTGTGCCAAATATGCAACAGCAGTTTAATGAAAAAAGATTTGCCAGCAGAAGCTGAAATATGAGATTTGTAACATACACATTTATCTAACGAAAGTATATGAGATGGTGTGTGCCATTTTATTGCACCTCTAGTTTCCAAATGCCCATTTTTTATTTCTTTATTTTTTATGTTAGCAGAAATTTTCCAACCTAAAGCTATCATTAAGATAGAGGAGACAATACTGAATTGTAAATGTAATTTACATCCATAAAGAAATGGTCATATTTCCAGTCCTTTTTTTTAGCTTTTGAGTGTAGTATTTAGTCATGCATTTTGGTATTATTTAGTAATGTTCATGATATATTTTGACCATAATGATCACTTGCAGTATTGCATTAATAATGTATCATTTTAAATCTTGACTTTCTCTATAACTTCAGTGGCACTAGAGTAATACAATATTCTGGATTAAAACTTGAATGAAATATAGTATAGTGTTTAAGAAAATGTGAAAGTATTTTTTACCAATTTTGATTTCTGATATTCAAGTTAACAACTTTGCAAAAAAATCCTATCTGATCTTTAACTAAAAGGAGTGAAATACTAAAGTTTGTATTGGTTCATGGAAAAGTCATTATTAATGATTTCCTAATATTACTTGTTTGAAACAAATGTGTTGTAATCCAGTATTCAGAATAAATGTGTGGAGTGTAATTGTAGAAAGAAAATATTTGTTGGAAACAAAAATCAAAATTGAAACCTTTTTCTGAACTATTTTAACAGAATTTTAATATAAACACAAAACTCTTTTAACAGATATCCCAAATAAAATTAATTTTCAACAGGCAAAAAGACAGAAGTCAAAAGTGACAGTGTCTGGCAAAATGAAATTTAACATTAATATTATCTCTAAATTTTCTGTGTTAAAATACTTAGTATGGACTGAATTCAGGGCCGGATTTACCTAAAAGCAAAACAAGCAGTTGCTTAGGGGTCCCCATCAATAGCCCCAAGCTTTGGAATGCGTAACATATGTTGTTACATAAAATATATTTAATGTAATAAATATATGTAAAACTTTATATAAAAAATTATTAGTTTTCATTCCTATTGGTACAGAAAGTACTTGTATTAAAATAACTTTTTATTTAATAAAGATGGGGCTATTTTTATGGAGGGGGGGGGGAGCAACACAATTTTGTGCTTGGGGTACCTGCAATACTAAAATCCGACCCTAACTGCCGTAGTTAAAAAAAATATTTATTTGAGTTACAAATTCCACATTGATTATAGTGCCAAATTTGTTTTCTTGATCTATGATATTTAAGTTAAATATTGTGAAGAGTATTTTATTTTTTTTCTAGAGATATTTATGAAATTACTCGAGTGAATGAAAATCACGTACTTAGGCTATTTGCATTTTCAACTGTGCTGGTGAGGTTACTTCGGCAAGGACTACGAACGTACGATACCCCTAGATATCGTCAGTTTGCTAAGAGATTGGGTCGTCTTATTCGACATACTGTGCAGTATGCATCAGACCATTGGGAGTGTTTCAGGTAAAGATTTTATTTATTCACTATCATACAATGCTGTCATCCTCTGGAGCTCATTTAACTGAATTTGTATTGTTACGAGGAGATGCAACCGTTGGGTTGAACCAGCTATGCTGCAGCGTTTGCAAATTGAATATGATGCATTCTTCTTACGAGCAACACGGTGCATCTTCTCTTCACAAAGACTTGGTGCATGGCAATTTTTAGCTGTAGTGCCTTACAATGTAGTGTCTATTTCTACACTTTGGCGATTATTCTATATTTTACATGAAGATTATCAAGAAGAAGAAAATTTGAGCCTACACTGGGACACACGGCTAGGTCTGCATTCTTTGTTTTTCAATATTGTTGTTGTTGTTGTTGTTGTTGTTGTTGTTTTATTCTTCCTCACTATATCTGCACGGTGTGTCTAGATTGGGAAAGAAAACTTAGTGATCCAGATCTCAGAATTCAATTTGAAGAGAAACTTACCACAATGCCAGAAGCAGAATCATATTATCTCTTGACTACTTTCGCAAATATGGCAATGGCAAGAGGATCTTCAGATAGAGACTTTGTGAAAGCAGCAACATTAGATTTATTCCAGGTACAAGCTGCTAATGTTTCACCTTTTCTATAGTAAGTTATAAATAATTTTAAAAAGTTTTAGAAAATTATGATTAAATTAACAATGTTTTATCTGCTTACAGATTGGTTTTCTCAGTTCTGCTACCCAAGAGTCGTGCTCTAAATCTGCTAGAGTATTGCTTTCAAATATAACAACTAAACATCCAAGTTTACTTTCTGACATTCTGGCAAAACTCATGGATAATTTTACCCAAGCTGGAAAAGTATGTGTAAAGGTTTTTAATACATACATATACTTCTCTCAAGAAAAGAATCACTAATTAATTTTTTATTTTTTAGCTGAGCCTTTATTTATTCAAAGACCTGCCTCTGCGTCTCTGGAATCCTAGTGACAAAGATTTAAATACAATTGCTAATTGGTTACTGAATTGCCCTCTTGCATCCACTGAAAATAATCTTGCTCGTCTAATTTTGAGTAATCTAAATTGGGGTTGCACAGAGCAGTCATTATGTCTTGAATTGTTCTTTCATCGAAGAGTGGCTGCTCTTGTTGTTGAAGCAGCTTTAAAGTTTGTGCCAGAAGCCATGGGCAGTGGTGGAACAGCCATGATCACAGAGAGTGTTAAACAGGTACACAACTTATTTCTGAAGCAATTTGAGGCATTATGTAAATTGTAATTTTGTTTGACTTTTAGAATTATTTTTAAAAAAATAAAAATTTTGGACTTTGTAAATTATTTTTTGTTGTAGTTACACATAATTGAATGTTAGGCATGACAATTGTAGTTCTTAATAATGGTATATCATTAACAATTCATTTGTACAGTCTGTTATCTGTCATGTTTATTCTTTTGTTCAATTTATGAGTAGTATAATATTTGAGTGAATTATCTCATATCTTGTTTCAAAATGAGTAAAATTGGTGTTGGTTTTTTTGTTTATCACTTATAAATTTATTAGAGAAATGTTAAGTAGAAACAATTATTCTTTTTGTACCTCCATACAAGTTTTATTCTAGAATACTTTGAATTATTTCAATGATAGAAATAAATTGCATTGTTCTCAAAATTATTTAAAGCTGTGTGTAAGATCTTTCATTACATTCCTTAAATAATTAAAAACAGTTTAAATTTTTCTTAACCCATTCATATATACATTTATTTAAAATATTAATACATGTATATTAATTAATACATGTGGATGTGTTAAGAAAGATTCAGTCTTTAATTAAATGTGGTATATAATGAATAAACTTCATTTGTTTGCGCTCAAGGCCAATGTTAAACTCAGTTTTCATGTCTTGTTATGAAAAATACAGTAGCCTTTTTGCCTGTATTTTCAGGTGTCAAATTTAGCCACGTCCATTGTGAGACCTCAATCCACTGAACAAATTTTTAGTCAGTGGGCTTGGGAAATGCTGACACGATTGCGCTTGCATGCCCTGGATCAACCAGACCATGCTGTGTGGACAGCAATGGCCAATCCTGCTACAGCATTTGCAGGTGTTCCTGACATTGAAAATGATTCAACTCTCGAAAGTGTACTTATGGGTGTTCGAGACAGACAGCCAATTGCTTGTTATGCTGCGGCTTTGATGAGCATTTGGGGTCATAGTGTACCTCTCCTGTGTACAAAAGGTTTCAACATGCTTCAGATATTATTATGCCATTATAAGTACGATGCAGTTTTGGGAGTCCTACAACATTTCGTTCCTTTGTTTTTGGATTGTGAAGAGTCTCTAGTCAAGAATGAAAGGTGAGAATATGAAAGTGATTGGTGAAATATGAGAAAAGGGATTATGTAGACTTAGTGTAAGTTTATAAGTATAACACAAGATGTTCTTATTAATTGTCTCAAATTGGTTTTTTGTTAGCCTAACTGTTGTTGTTACAGTTCTAAGATATAATGTGTGATGTAATTGATGACAAAGTAATTATTTTTCATCAAAATAAAAAAAAAATTAACAGAAGCCTTTGGATTCTTGATTAGCATTGAAAACTATGGTTTTATTACTTGTTGCTAGATTTTGCTTGCATTTTCAGATTTGTGTCCATCTTAATTTCAATTCTGATGGCTGATAAAACATATATGAAAATGGCTAAGAATCTAATAGCTCCAGAATTTCCTGGCCCAGTTTTGAAGCAGTTTGGAAATATGATAGAATATCAAATGGAAAATTGTCGAAGGTATGTTCCTTTACTCTTTTTGAAGGGTTTAAATATGATTTTCTACTTGCATACTTAATTTTTATCATACTAAGTTCAGATATTTAAAAAAAAATTTTTCTTTAGGTACAGTCTAAATAGCCCTCGTCCTTTTATTCAGTTATGGATGGTGAGCTTATCTCAGATTTCTGACTGGACAAAAGAGAATGGCATTATATACCTCATGGATGTAATGTTAAGATGTGCCTTCTTTCATGTGGAAGCCCGTGAAACTGCTAGTTTTCTTTTGAACAAAATGTATCAGGTAATGATTTGAATAGAACTATATTTTGTGATTCTGTTGCCAGTGATTGCATGATTTTGTTATTGTTGATTCTAGCTAGCATTATTGGAATTGGACGATGAGGTTAGTGTAATTTTAATCTTTTAGGTCTTCATACTTTACAAAGGAAAGTTAATTTAAATTCATGCCTTGATGATTATAGACGATGTCAAGTCCAAGACATGGCAGTACTTTTTCTTCTTTCATCAGTTGGGTAGCTTCAGGTACAGCCAATGTGGTATCATTACTACCTCGATCATCTATTCCTGAATGTCCATGGTATGCTTATTTTGTCTTGGAAATGGAGCAAGAATTGCAAGAAGAAAAAACCGGATTGTGGCGAGAAGTTTTGAAGGAGTTAGCTGCTACAACTGGGAAGGCCAATATTGATCAAGCAGTAAAAGTATGTTCTATAATTATTTCTTTATGTAATTGGATTAATATTGGGTGTGTGATTAGTGGTTTTGATAATCTAACTCTACAAAGAAGCAGATTTGCTCTTACAATACAACTCCAAATATCTTGATTAATTGAGAACGGATCCATATAATCCAAATAATCAAATATCTGGATATCACTGACCTGCAAATTTAAACTTTCTGATAATTGCATAATGCTTAAGAAGTGCTCTTTTATTCCTTTGTAAGGCCAAGATCTTGAACAAAATTATTTAATACACTTTGCGTGAAACGTTTTGGTTTCTTTTCAACATCTTCAATTGAGAAATCAGTCACATTCAGATCCAGAATAGGGAAGGTGTTTTTCTAGACGCTGTGAGACTGTTACATCAGGACCAAAGGAACAAGTAAAATTGCTGATAGAATATTGCTTGGAGGCACAATAATACTTTGGTTCCTGTTGTTAAATCCCTTCACTTGCACAGAAAAAGAAGCGGCAATAAGTACTGTTCTGTAGGTTGTCGCCACACCTTTGGAATTCCAAATGGCTACACTGTTCTTTCTCCATTAATCCACTGTTATAACTGCTCTATTTACATGTTCTACAAGCCCTATGTGGTGCCAAGAAATTGTCGTGACCTCCGAGTTTGATCCTAAAATAGGCGTAGTAGGTCTTTATCACAAACTCTGTTATTTTGCGTTGCTGTCGTATCGGCACGAAACTTCCACACTCGTAACGGAATGTATCGGGGCAGTTCTTGCAGCCAAAACATGGCATGTCAATATAATTTCAATAAAAAGATTATATTTTTTATTGAAATATGTATTAAACACCAAATGTCATTCACTATATGACACTTTAGATGACAAACATCTCTTTTCAGTGACAAGTGAAACACAACTATGACTTGCAGACAAACCACAACAAATGTTGCAAAACTTGCTTCATTGTACCGTGTTACCGGCTCTAAACTTGAGCTTATAGTACAGGGTTGTCAGATGGCTGCAGGACATTGATTTAATAAATTAATCTAGACATCTTAATTGAAGCAACTCCTCCAGCAACCACATAAGAAGTGCATTAGTGCATGAATGTGTTAAAGCGTAATATGTGATTTTTGAAAAAACGAGATGTGATGTGGGGAAAATAACATCAGATCCTGATTGACGATGCAAAAGTAATTCTAAAAAGCAATGCAAGAAGTTGATAATGAAATCATCGCAGGCCAGTGAAATTAGAGAAATCATGAAAAAGTTCATTTATTTAAAAATATGCTAAATTTCTGCGTATATACAACTGTAATATTTATTTAATGACTACAAAAACATTTACATTTTACACATTTACAATATATACAGTGCTGTACTTACCAGGTGCACAAGTTTAAAATGTTATTTTCATTAAAAGTACTCAATAATTTAGGAATAGTGGTGAAATATCTTTTATTCAAAATATTGGTCTTCTTTTTCTACACATTTAGACCTTCTTTAAAGCAAATTTATGGATGCCATTTCGCAAGAAAATTTCAAACTGCATCAACATCTATTCACCAAGCCATTTTTCCACTTTATTGAATGTTATGAAATGCTATTCAGCCAGTGCAATCCCATCTATGCTAACAAATGGTAATCTGAAAGAGCTAAGTCTGGTGACCCCAGTAGATGGGGTAAGAGTTCTCAACCAGGGGTGAAAATGGTGTCTTTTTCCAGTTTGGCTAAATGTGCAGGAGCGTTGACATGCTGCAAAATGTCTTTGCCATGTCTTCTAGCCCATTCTGTCTGTTTTTCAATCAACACATAGTTCAAATTGATCGTTTGCTGCCAGCAGCCATTGGTATTAACTATTTTACCAGGCTTGTGAAGTTTGTAGTACATGACACCCTTCTGATCCCACCACACACACAACATTGTCTTTTCCCCAAGCAATCTGATCTTGCACTCTATCATTGCTCTGCCATCATTTTTTGTGATTGTGCATCATCCACATCCAATAATGCTTGAAATTGGACATCTTCAAACTTTCTTTGTCAATTTTTGCATTCTTTGACAACATTAAAATCACCACTTTTGACTCTGAAACCAGCATTCACAAATGTTGATATATGGATCATGCTTGCCGTAAGTTTCCACACAAATTCAATGACTTTCTGATGCTTTTTATGATGCAAAAAATCATCACTTACTGCAAATGCTCTTTATTGCCCTTAAATTTTGACATTTTTACCTCTGAACAGAAGTATGCTGCTAACCTGTAAACAAACAAACAAATATTTTATTAGTAAGCAATCATAGCTGCAAAAATATTCCGGTCCCTAGTAATAATTGTTGAACAGAACCAACACGTTGATTTTATGAAGTTATTTTATTAATAAAAAATTATTTTTCCTCAAGACAATTCAGATAGTTGGAGTTCAGATAATTGAAGTTCTACTGTATTTGGAAATACATAGAAATGGATTATTAGTCCATTCTCATTTCAAAATTAAATTAAAATTTAACTTCAAATAGTTATTTACAAGAGTAATTTATTTTCTTATAATTAGAATACAATTTTCTGTGAGATTTTCAGGAATTTGACAAGTTTTGTTTGATATAATTGTTATTCCTTGCTTCATTTTCCTTAATTAAAATTTGATTACAGACATTTTGTTTATATTTATTTTCAGAGAGCTGCCCAGTCTTTGAAAATTCCTGCACCACCAGCTAGTAGTCTCTTCATATATCGTTGGGCACAACAAGCTCTTGATACACCTTTGGATCACCCTTTGTTGCCTTTAATTTGGCAGAAATTTTTTGTTTTGTTTTTAGCTAGAGTGCCTTCAGCTTCTGGGTTAGTAGCTTCACTGATTTTCTATTTAGAACTGAAGCACACGAGTAAAGGTCATACGATTATTGTAGATATTTGTGTATATTTGATAATTCTCTAGTAGCTAAATTCGATGTTTTGGGCAAATGTCAAAAGATTTCTAGAGAATTTTAAATTTTATATTGAAATTTGGGGTACAGAAAAAGAGAGCACATTTGGATAGCACCTAAAATGTTTTCATTTCACAAAATCAGAAAATCTGGATGAAAGAAAGACCAACCAAATCATGTGATTTAAGAAGGATGTCACAAAGAGAAAATGTTGTTAAGTAATGTTACCGAATTGGAAAAGAAAAATTGGGGAATTTCAGTCTCCAAATTAATTTTCCATTCTGTTCATTAAACTTGCATCATGAATAGTCATTATCATTGTTTATTATAACCCAATTAAAAGGTAATAAAATTGTTACATTATAAAGGTTTATTTACCTCTTGGCTTCTTTCCAGACCAAATTCTGGGAAAGTATGTGGAATGCATTAATTGAGAAGTGTTATTCACTGATAAATTTAAAATTTTACTACAATAATTTTACATACTGGGGCATTACGAGAATTTGTCTTTTTTCATCTCTCATGAACGTATCATTAGTGAAAATGCTCTTTAGTAGATCTTATTAAAGTGTCTGTGTAATCAAATGTTAGTTATTGTAAGACTTTTTTATTATTAATATCAGGTATCAATTGTCCTGAAATTATAAGAATAATGTTATTTTTAAGAGATCTCCATTGTAACAAATACCTAATTTTGTTCAACGATAATCATTTTTCTTACATGACCTCAGTGTTCCTGACAGAGGATGTGTTGGTGATAAATTCTTTGAAGGAATGTTGAATCTGAGTTTTCATAAGAAGTTAAAGAAAAGATTACAGGAAGCTTCAGAGTTCTATCGGTCAAAGAGCACCGAAACTGGAGGTGATTCACCTCAAGCCGAGGAAGCCAAAGAAGACCAATCTGAAACAGAGGATGTTGGAGCTGAGAAAAAGGAATGGTACACAACTTGTTCCAAGTAAGAAAACCTTTTTTTTTGTGCCTCTTTTTCTATCACTTACTTATATTCATCATCAATCACTTATATTTATCTGGATGTATTTGAACAGACTTTTAAGGACATTTAGTCTGTGGCTGGAAGAACCAAGACTACAAGAGCCTAGTTTGTTTTTGCCTGCCCTTCCTCCTCAATATAATCCCTCTAAACTTGCTGGAATCATCCAGGGAGATAAAACTCCTTGGTTGGAGTATCTGGATTATGCTCTTGTTAGAGGGAATCAACAAAGTGCTGCTTGGGATTGGCAGGTGGCACGATATCGCACCCTTGATCCCTCAGTTAAGATACTCTTACCTTCGCCTGAAGAAACTGATGATCCTTCAGACAGAATTCTAAAACGGTAATTAATTAAAATCTCAGAGATAAATTATTTGTTATTACACACCGTAATTTGCTTTTCTTATTTTTGATAGGCTGCAGTCATATGATTCTTCAGTACCCCCGCCACCTCTGAGGCCAAGTAAACCTGTAGTACCAACAGTTTCCAATGACATGCTTTACAACAGGGGTACCATGCTCAATGGTCTTAAACCATTCTTCAGATCTCTTCTAGAATATGCTCAGTAAGTAGTTTTGTTTTGGTTCTGTTTTGAAAGGTATGGAAATTATCAAAACTATAGACAATCCTCACTTTTTCATCAATTTGCTACAGTATATCAAAATAAATAATTTTATCTAACTTTCCAATGTATTTTCAGTTAATCAGGGCGATTTAAATGTAAGTGTTTGTTAACAAATACCTTAATATAAAGAAGCAATGTAATAATCCTAGATTAATTTAAATAGTAGAATCACTATCATGTTTCTTCATGAAAATGAAATACATTTGTGAAAGTCATATGTTATATCTTTAATCAGGTAATGCTTGTGTGCATCTGTCATTTGCAGTTAGGACCTTTCCAATCCACCATTTCGGGCATATAAGGTATCATTCGTCTGGGGAATTTGCCATTTCGAGAACAGATGGAATTGTGGGGAAGGTGAAGCATGGGAAGAAATCATTAGACCCCTTCCATCCATTGTTTAGGGAAAGTGAAGGGTCATTTGATGTGTCTCAGGTCTGCTGTGGGAACATATTTTTTCTATCCTTTCCTTCTAATTAAAAGACCTGAAATTAATAAGTTTGAAAACCATAAACTGTTTAAAGCTTTAAAGATATCATACAAAGCTATAGTTACATCTATAAAATTGAAATAAGTAATTTTTTTACCAAGGATATAGTAATTGTCAACGCAATGTTAATAGAAGAAAGGTGCAAAGAAATTAATGTCAGAAAAAGAAAATTGTGTTTGGAAAATTGAAAGAAATTTCGATGATAAAATAAATTTAAAAGAACAAATATTTGTAAAATCAATACAGGTTCTAAACAGTTATTGTTTTTACAAGTATTATTGATGTGCTTTATGAAGATATTAACAAGTTTTTGCAAGTATCTATAACAAAAGATGGATGTTACATTGAAGAAATAAAAATAAGAAGAATATCAGGAAAGACAACCATGAAAAAGTGTAATAAATTCATCAAAGACTCAGTATTATCAGTGAAGACGAAAATCAAGCTTAAACAGACAATGATGTTGTCTGTTGTGCTATACGGCTCTGGGTGTTGGTCTTGAAACTCTTCAGACCAGAGAAAAATTGATGCTTTTGAAATGTTGTTTGGAGGAAATTGTGGAAAATCCGTTGGACACACAAAAGAAATCTGTTCTGAAAAATTAAAACCCTAATGTTCTCTAGAAGCCAGAGTTCTGAAACAAAAACTCCTTATTTGGACAGATTTCAAGGAGATCAGACTCTTTGGAGAAGGACATAATGTTAGGGACAATGGACAAAACTAGAAGACATGGAAGACAGAGACTGAGATGGCAAGAAGAAATCTAAAAAGTAACCAACTTGGCATGGATAGAAATAATGTATGTGGAGCAAAACAGAATAGGATGGAGAAAACTCACAAAGAAAGTGACACCAAAAAGGAAATTTTCAAGGAGAGGCTGGCAACCAACTGTTTTGAATATCCTGTTAAAGGATCACCAAGGATTACATGCGACTACATATTTCTTACTTATTATGTCAAGAAGGTTAGTTCTGGGTTTGTCAGATTTCATTAATCATTTAATGAATTGAGAATTATAAAAAAGCATGTGAACTAGTGGTGTTACAACAGCACATTCTATCACGTGTTATTTCTAATTTTGCAATTTTCCAAAAATTCAGAGACTGTAATAAACAGAGACCTCTGTCGTTTTTTTAGGAGTTCCTTGTTTTATTTGTCAAAAAATTGGTAGCAATTTTTGGGGAAAATATTGTTTTTATAAATTGCATTGATTTCAAGTGCAAATTACACAAAAATTACTCACTCTTTCAAAAAATTGTACATGACCTTTTTTATAGAGCTAAGCTTTTACTACTGATTTTGTTGCAAAATCTCTGATCTTTAATTTTGTAATTTTTAAATGTTAAAATTTGGCATTTCGAAAATACAGAGCTCAACAGAAATGATACTAACATCAATTTTTTTAACATCCTTTAATATACACGAGAAGAAAATTTACAGAAATAATTTGGTGTTGTTTTGAGAAAATAAATGTATAAAAAATTTAAAAATTGCCTACATTTCATGCAAAATTACCTGATGCCTCATATTTTCAAAAAATTGTACATGACCTTATTTGAAGATCCATCTTTAAAGAACAGATTTTACAAAGGAAAAAATCTCTATCTTTAGTATTGTAGTTGTTGGAAGACATTGAAAAAAAATTGAAGTTTTGACGTTTTTAAAAAATCAGAGATTGCAATGAAAATGATACCAGTACTGAAAGCACTTAATGCTATCTGTGTACAAAGTTTAATTAAAAATGTGGAGCCATTTTTGAGATACTTTTTGAAAATAAGTCTTTACATAAATTAGTCTCCAAAATCATAATATATGTTTCAAACTCAGAGGGCTTTGGGTTCATGTAAATTGATTAGAGAATATAAATTTTGGACAAAAAAAGCTGAACATTTAAGGTGCTATTGCAGCTATTTCTAGCTACCAGACACAGATGGAAAGACAGACAGACAGCCATGTCTATCAATCAAGTTTTCAAAATCAAGGCTCCACAAAAATGGAGTCTGACTACATAACCTGTGTATACAAACAATATATATCTACTTTTTCATTACAAGGGTCTGGCAATTAGAGTTTTTCTGCCAAAAAATTCACAGTTTTCTGAAGCATGATTACAATACTTTCTCTTTTTATGAAGTTAAGGCAAAAAAATAAAAACTGTAAGGAGATACTACATGTGACATGGTTGTGGTACCTGCTATCATTAACTTTATGTTGTTTTTAACCTGGCTTCAATAAGATCCTCTGGAAATATCATAGTTAAAATATAAAAAATAAATTTTGGCAGAATAATTAAGTGCATTGAGTATATTGAAAATATTAACTAGTGGGGCTACAGAATGGCACAGATTTTCCCATATTAGTTTTCTATTTTTCTTGGTCTCAGCTAGCTACACGGTCTTGCCACAAACTCATGCCAGCTGTTATCTATCCTCGCCCAAAGTACATTTTCTTAATTTTTCAGTTTCCTAATTATAGAGAAGAAATATTATTTTAAGATTATTAAAGAACAGAAAAACCTCATTTTGAAAACCTCCTCTTTTTGAAAACCATGTGTTTAAAGTGGTACTGTAAATTCAAAATGTAAATTTTTTTCACAGGAAATTTTCATTTGAAGCTCATTTTAAGTACTTTTACTAACAAATTCAATAGTGTTTAAAAATTGCTGGAAATCAACAACGTGAGAGATCTCCCAAAAAATTTACATTTGTGTTATTTTGGAAAGAAAAAGGAAAAAAATTGAAATTAACTTCACGTCATATTAAAGAGCAGAATTAGAACTTTACATTCAAAATGTTTGAAGAAAAAATTTGGAGCCATTTTTGAGAACATGCAGAGTTCTGAGCTAGTTTTCCCAGAAAACAGTTTCTGAACATGCAGAGTTTTGAGCTAGTTGTCACAGAAAACAGTTGAGTTTTCGAGAAACTTTACGCAACATTATTGAAAGCACATGTACTCATATATTCAATAATATTAACAAATTGCCGCTAATATAAATATTAACGACATGAGAGGCAAGTCAAAAAAATAACATTTTTGTAAATGTTGAAAAAACAAGAGAGTAGAGCAATATGGCATTTGTCATCTTATAGAATACATTTAGCACTATCCATACTAAAAGTTAAAAGAAAAAATTTGGAGCCGTTTTGGAGAAAATCATGTTTTTTAATTGAACATATTGCAGGCAGTATTGCATGAAAACTACTAAAATTTTAAGAAAAATGTACTAGACGTTAATGAAAGAACTCGCTACGAACAGCAAATTTTATTTCAAGGAAAAATCTCTATCTTTAATTTTGTAGCTGTATTTTTTGAAAATTTAGAGTTAATAGTGAAGAATAGTGTATATATACTGTATATACACACACACACAAGAAATTTAAATCAAAATTTGGTGATGTTTTTAAGAAAATTTTGAAAATGTCCAGAGGGCTTCAGGTAATAAAGACCCTCAATTTTAAAGATTTTTTCTTCTTCAAAATCTCAAAGATTCAACTTGAGCCAGATGGACAGGGATTTGTTCAATTTGGAAAAAAAATGCTACGAATGGTTTAGGCGCTATTGTTCACAGACGGAGGTTTTTGTTGTTGTTTTTTGTTTTTTTAAATACCTTTTCAGTATCAGGGGACCTCTAAAACGTGTTTTTCCGTCGAAATATCGAAGTCGATTGTCTGCAGCATTACATAACTTTCCCTATACTACTATAAAAACAGAATGCCCACTTTGTGGAAAACTGGGAAAAATCACGGAAATTTATTCCTCTGGAAAAGTCAGGGGAAAATCACGGAATTTGTGAAAGAATTGTTGGAATTCAGGGAAATTTTTGAGATGGCTATAAAATTTTAACATATTTCTAAAACAAATAGTTCACAAATAGTTCAAAAACATAATTCTTTGACCAATTTCTATTTGTTGATTTTTTAATTTATTTTTTTAGCTTTAGCATTGTAAAATCAACTGACAAATTAGTTCCAAGCTTGCTTTGATGTTTTCTTTAATTAGTGTGTAATACTTCACAAATCTTATGTGAATAATAAAAAAATGTTATAAAGAACAAGGAAAAGACGGAAATTTGTTTCAGGAAATGGGTAACCACCCTGAAATACAATCATCATAAATACTGCAATAACATAGGGTAGTATATACACAGTACAACAGTCCTACACATAACAAGAATATCAAAATCATTGTTGTTCCATAATGCAACACATGAATTGCGAATATTTAATGGTGGGCAGCCTCTTCCTTGGAGCCTTGCAGTTATATTACATCAGCTGTGTCCAAAGCAGTGACACTGAGTATGAAAATTCAGTCAGTTTGCACATTATGAGAATAGGCCAACTAATCAATGTGTTTGGATTTTTCAGTCAAAATCAAAATTATTTCATTGTTTTTGTACTTTCTCCAGAGTTCCTAGTTATCTAACGAAACCATCCTCTCTCATGGCTGGATGCTACATAGTTTCCTTTCAGTTTTTGTGCACATTGGGAATTAGTAATATAGTTATTATTTTGCACATTGAACCAAATCAATTTAATTTATTTACTTCATAATACAGTGAACTGTGCATTGAAAATTGTTGTTCTTGTTACATATGTCCTTGTAAAAGATAAATGTTTTACTAGTGTATTTACTTAAAATGTATATGTAATTGATTTAATATTCATAAGATACCATGTGTAGCTTTCCAAAATGACAAAGTAGATTTTCTTTGAAGTTTTGAGAGTTACTGTAGTTCACAATTTTTAGTGGAAGAGAATTCCAGTGATCATGATTCTTCTGGGTAGAAAATGTTTGTAGAAGTTAATTTCTCCAAAACTCAAGCAGTATATATTGTACGTAATACCTGAACATTTCTCTTTTATAACAGAATTTACTCTCTGCGTATGTCAGAACATACTGCTTTGGACTGCAACTTTTTAGAATTAGTGCCTGCTTTGTATCGTGATGTGGAAATGGAAATTATCCTTCATGCTGCTTGTGATAGTGAGCCTCAAATGTCTAGAAGGGATGCTGCTTTGACATGTGCTGGACCTGCTGCTATAAGACTCAAAGTAAGTTAAGTGTTCCACTATTCTTGTATTACAGACAATTTTTTCTTATTTAATTACTCTGTCAAGCATTATTTTCTAACAAACATAAATGTTTTAATTTTTTAATATGTTTTGTTTCTTACACAATTTATTTAGTTTTATTATAATTAATACTGTTATTATTTTTTGCCTGTTTCACAACTAAAGATTTTAGGTGTTTATGAAATATATAATCTACTCTAGATTGCTACCACCTTCCTAAGGAGCAGATCTAGTAACTGTTCTTACCTCTACAATACTTGTGGCAAAATATGGTCTGTTTCCAATTACAAAATGCAGTCTAGCACTTTCAAGTGTTTTGAAGGACCTGAGAGTTAGGACAAGTTCTTACAAACATTTTATGGAACAAATCCCGAAGCTCCAATAACTATTGATATGTTTGTTATATCCACCTTTTTTTAGTCTGTCATAATCAATCATGATTATGTAGAGTTAGGGAGCATAGTTTTTTGACAGACAATTTCTTTAATGTTAATTTATTTTATATTCATGCGCAACAGTTTCGAGGATTGTTATCCCCATCATCAGGCTATAAAATTGAATTTTTTCAATATTGAAAAAATAGTTCTCCCTTCGTACTTGTCCTCTCCTTTTCTTGTCGTAACTTCCCCTGGCTCTCAGAACTCATTATTTCAACCGCTCTCACCAACGCATTGTAATGGAACCGTCGCTCGCGTCAGGTGGCGACGTGTGTCCAATTTTTATTCAATATAACGTTGCTGAAAAGATGCCTCGAAATGTGCGTTTTTCGCTACCTGCAAACGTGTTAGAAGCATCGGGGACGCGGAGGCATGCAGCTTTATTGTCTCGACAGGGGCACGCCGCAAACCGCACTCTTAACTCTTCACCTAACTATTGATATGACCTGTCATTTTCTCCTGGGAGACCTGCCTGTCTCCTTGGTTTCGACATTTTTGTCGCATGGTACTGCAACCTTTACATGTAAACATGATTTTTTTAACCAAATCTAAATAACAGTATCTGGTTTAGGTACTGCTTTTATATGATTGATTTGTTGTCATACAATATTATAAAGTGACCAACAAACATTGTAGGTTTTGGTGAGTGTTTATACCATTGGATCATATGTTCGTAACTTTGAGGATGTACTTACCCTCTCGTGGGGGTAATTACAGGCCCCGTCATGTTTTTTCACATTTGCCTTTGTTAGAATTGGAGAAACTGAGACTATACGATTTCTACTCATTCCTGACAAATATGGCATTTATCATCCTGTGAAATTTTGTGATGCACTTTATCATAATGTTATGTTCTCCATTCCTGATGTGGAGCTATTACAAGTGCTTCCGATTTTGATTTCATTCTTTCACTTTTAAGGCAGATAAATGAAATGGTCTCTGTTAATGTGAATCATGTTCATTCTTTTTAGATATTGTCTGTGGAATGGTTTGTCTCTTCATAATTTCTTCAAAATTGTTTGTCTTACATGACAATCAATCACATCAACAGCATCAACAGTTCAGTGTTTGTTTCTAGCATAGTTTTCCTGACTATTCTTCGTGCTAAACTTGCAATGCCTTTTATCCCACTTTTTCAGTGATGCACCAAGTTTGAGAATAGCACAATTAAATATTTGCATTTTATGGTCAAAATCAAAACTGTTGTATTGTTTTTCATTGTTTTCAAAGTTCATGAGTATCAAACAAAACCATACATGCCTCTCACATGGCTGTAAGCTACATAGTTTCCTTTCAATTTCTGTAAGCATTGGAAATTAGGAATATGAATCGGGGAGTTTTAAGTAATGCCTATTTTAAAACCATTGATATACTTGTTCAGGTTTGTATATGTTCTCACATATGTAAGAAAAGGTACAAAAATTTAAATGAATATTTTTTAATGGGTAAAATAATTTATATTTTGTAATAGATCTAGCATAGGGTCCTCAATTTTACCACCTGGAAGCTAAATCAGTCTCTACCAAGAGTAACTCATGAATATAGTCAAATTGCATTGATTTCAAGTTTGAGCTCTCTGAGATCTTATAGAGACTATTTTAACTTGCTGTATTTTCATGATTTAATTAATGGAAATATTGATGCATATGATTTGTATTCTATGATCCCTTGGTCTACAACGGAACAAAGTATGTGGTGTAATGAAAATGCTCTATTTGTAATTTCGATCCCTAGAACAAATGTATATTACTTTGCACAACTTGGAGGATGTGTAGAATGTCAATATTAAGATATTTTTGCATCTACGAATGGATTTTTGAAAAGTATAAGAGAACATTATATAAAAGTCTGCACTTGAAAATAAATTTACAGTGGATTTATTTTGTTGTATATTTTATTTTATAAATTCTCTACTTCTGTGAAATAACTGTAATTGGGCAATTGCCCGAGATATACAGTATGATTCAATCGTTGTTGCTCATACAGGACCCAGTGATAGAGTACCCTACGAGTGAGAAAGAGAAGAAACTACTATTTAAGCATTATATACTATAGTTAATAATATTTGCGTGTGCAGCCAAAACTTCGCACTTTCTCCTCGTGTAACAGGGACTCAAGTGTTCAAAATGACCCCCTCCTCCTGCGTGAGCGCAAGGTAGGCATCTGTGACGCACCCAACTTTGCCGAGTTGTCTTTCATTGACCGCTCCGAAAGCGTTCGGAGTACTTGAGTTACAGAATTTAGAATCTGAACGCCTCTTAAACGCTCGAGTAAGAAGTGAGGACCGAGGATATATTCATCCACAATGCCAACCGACACATTCACAGAGAATTGCTCTTGGTGAGCTACACTAAGTGCAACATGCGAATTTTCTCGGACCTCACACGCAGATTGTACACATTAACTGTGTAACTTCTCATAAAACACGCTTCACCTGACCAAAGAACGAAATTCCAGGTTTTCTTTGCTTTTGCGCAGGAAATGCCTAGAGATTTGAAAACGACATTCAAAGCATCCACTGCGCAAATGCTGCACCTGCTGGAAATGGAAAGTCTCGGCATAAATTGTTCACCAGACGACGGACTGTGATGCTTTGCCCTCGCATTCGATTTGCCTTGTGTTCGCTCCGGGAACTTTTCGGATAGTATTACCAATTGAGTTTTTCAGAGAAGCGGCGAGCCCCCTAACGCGTGAAGCCGCTCGCTCGTAGCTCATGTTACACGTGCACAAGCGCATAGTCCAAAGTTTAACGATAATTATTGGCAAAACTAAAAGACGAAGAGTATCCAATTTTTGCAAATTCGTCCTGAACATTATATATAGTATAAGGTTCTGGTGTGTTAGCATCGAGGACTGCATCACTCTGTATATGAAAACAATGCTAGTTATGTAATAAATTTTTTAGATAGTATGGTAAAAGCTGTTATTTTGAGGGTATGCAAAGCGTGCTAAAGGCTAAGGGAAACAATCAGAGTGTACTTGTACATTTAAGTTTTCAAAAAATGAAAAAACCCTAGTATACTTGGGTTTTTCAGTTAAATCCTTAAATGTATTTTTCTTCATAAAATATAATTTAATATCATTTTAAAATGATCTTTAAAGTAATATTTTGGAAAATGTATTGTTGGAGTGTTATGTAACAGGTGTGTGAAGCTCGAGTCAGTGAAGGAACAGAACATATGATTCAACAAAATCGAGGAGAATATGAGACTGTTTTATCTCGAGCCACTCAGCCACCTCCTCAGAAAGTGTGTGTTGGAAGTGTATTCTTGGAACATACAATTATGTAAGTCTGTGAACGTAATATTTTAATTTTATAAAATTGAAGACTTTTAGCATCAACCAAAAATTACATTAAGTTGCTGTAGTACCACATTTACATACTTTCACATAATGCATATGCTATGAATAAAACAAGAATTCTGAATTCTGTGCACTACACATTTTCACACATTCCAATGTATACGCTGTGTTTGAAATGCCACATTCTAAATGTGCTTGAAAAATCTTTTGCAGTGGATAAAAGTCTCATGTAGCAAAATTCGCACTTAATATTGCAATGTAATTTCTAATTACATTTCCATGCCAACTAACCTGAGTTACAGCTAACCTTAAGTTAATAATAGTGTGAACATTTTTCTAAACAATAATCAACAGTGAATGAAATAAAATGGGATATAAATAATATATAGAACAGGTTTGAATTAATAAACAAAAACAGACATCAGGCCTTTCATCCTGCTGTTCATGATGAAAATAAAATCATGCTGATGTTCTAATAATAGTGCATTAGGTAGCCAAAATAGCATTTTCCCTATATATTTTGAATGTGAGAGGGAAACTTCTTTCATCAAAAAGCAACTTAAGAAATAAGTAACATTTACCGAAGTAAACTTAAAAAAAGTTTGATTTTTGCATTAATTAAAAATGAATGTCATTAATTTAAAATAAAAATTGTTTACAGAATATTACTTCTCTAATAAATATTTTGCTCTTGTTTTAATTTTGGAAGACAAATTGTTATAGTTGTTATTAAAGTTAAATGCTCATTTGTTTTTGATTTTTATATTTTTGTGAGAGTATTGATATAAACTTTTTGTTGTAGGTTACTTGAAAATGAATACATGCAGAATCGAGCAAATAATAATACAGAAATGGTATTAAGATTACAAGATGTTGGAGTTACTCTTTTCTATCACATGATTGGGCTGTATAATGAGGATGCTGCATTTTATCCTCCGACTAAGCAACTTCTTACTAGTTGCCTTGAACGCTTGGGCCAGGTGAGATTTGCATTTTCTGTGGTCTAAAAGTATTGGTAATAATTTTGTTTGTTACCGAGTTTTATACTTTCTCTTTGTTTTCTCATTTGCTTCTTCTTTCTTTTTTTTCTCATCTTCTTTCATTTTTTTCTATTGTAAATTAGGGATTCCCAAAGTTTTGAGCTGGATTCAACTCTGCTTTGTGTGTGCTCAAAACCTTGGTCAAATTCAAAACCTCTGCATCATAAAGAAAATATTATTTTAATTAAATTGATCCAGAACACTTTTGAAAGTACCGGTACTCCAAACTGTTGAGAAATTTGACCATTGGGAAAGACATTCTTTCAAAAGTATGGGAAATTAAAGACAAACTGGAAAGGCTTATGAATAGGAAGCAGATTTTGATGACGTAAAACATTACCAAAAATGATCAATAAAATGCTTTTAAAATGCCTTAACAAAGAAAAACTATGTAAAAAAATTATTAAAACCACTAAGGATGACCAAATCAAGTTGTTGGGAATTTTACTGATGTAATCGAGGCTTCTTCCTTTTTTTCAAGTTAACTCGACTTGCAAACTTTTGGTTTGGAGTTTCTTTAAAAGAAAATCTCTGCCTTTATTGATCATCAAAACAGCCTAATTGTCAATCGCGCCGATAGGTTTCACAAGAACCTTAGATTACATAGTACTCACCACGGCTGACATTACAATATATGAGCGAAGAAATCAGGAATTCTGTGGTAAACATTTCTTGTTTGTAAATATTGTTTGGAAAGCAAGTACCGTTAAAATGATATCAAAATCAATGAAATCAGCAAAAAAATACATTAAAGATGACGTAGAAAGTTAAAAAAGAATTATGAGTTGAAATCGATGAAAAATGAAAAGTCATAAAAATGGGTCATTTCGTTTTGTTACAAAAAAAAACCTACAAAAAACAACTAAACAGCATTGTTCTAAAGTGAAAGGGGAAAAAATGACATTTAATTAAAAAAATACAAGACTATAATGGAAAAGAAAACTTCCATTACAGTTTGATGCAGCACATGTAGAATGAAATACTTAATTAAGGTACTTGGGATGAAATTTATTGCTTAGAAGAAAATGTTAATTTCAATTCAGTTTTCATCAAGACATTGTGGGTATATTATTGCAAGTAAAATATTATTTTTTATGTAATCAGATACTATATAAAAATATTGCTAGTGCATGTTACTGTGTATCATTGGTCGTGCTTTGAAAGAAAATTTCTCAATTATAATACAAGTACTTTTGTGTTTTTCTGAAAATTTGAAAAACTCTTTGAGTGAACTACAGAGAAACAAATTTACTTATTGAACTAGTAGTGTTACCAAAGCACATACTTTCCTGCATTGTTTCTAAATGCTCTGCAATATTACACTACTAGATAAATCAACAAAAGTGTCCAACAAGATCCTCACAGTTACCGTGCTGGCATTCATACCACTATACCACACAAGTGCCATTATGAGGCAAACTTGGGCGGAGGCATAAAAAAGTAAATGCTCAATTGGTGTTAAAAAAACCTCAACAATCAAATTATCCGATAGAAACTCCCAAAGCTTCAGATCAATGAGGGAATATCAATTTTGAAAAAAATCGCCTGAAAGTTTAGGCGCTACATTTTTCACTGATGGACTGATAGCTGTTAGGTTGATTAATTGATAGTGATTCCGGGGCGCGTCAACTGCTAGGATCATTAGTTACCTAAGTGTAGTACATGCTTTTCTCGGGAGATAGCGGTAGATTCACCGCGCCCCCCTCGGATGACGTAATCTGGCACGACCTACTGTCGAGTAGCGGGGTTTTTTTCCCAACCAATCTGCCCCCCCCTCCCCCCCCCCCCAAGGGATATGCCCCAGCCAGGACAAGCTTTCTTACATGTTGACTGTAATTTAGTGAAGCAGCGAGGTGCTTCAAATTATTTTCAATACAGTTTCTCAAATCCTCAATAGATTGCTGCAACAACACATTCATCAAATTAAAATCCCTGCCAGAGATTCGACCCCATTTCCCTCAAACTGTACATGCCTTAACCAGCTCGGCCATCGCTTAGGTCCATTCTGGCTGTATACTTCTGTATTAGTCTAGAGATAATTGCATCAATTCTAGCATTAAAGAGTTGAGAGAATGTGAAAAAAATGTATTTTATGCAACAAAATGTGACGTGAAGAGGAGGCTGGCAGACATGAAGAGGAGGCCTAGCCAAAAAGATAGTCCATATTAAAGAGATTAGAAAACTACCTATTCCGAAAACCTTTTTGCCATTCTATAGTACTACTAATATTTTCTAAATTTAGCTACAGGATTAAATTAAATACCTCAGCCACCCGGGTGGGACAGGGAATATACACTTCTATAAGAGTATGGTGGTTTCATTTCTAGTATTAGGCAGTCAAAAAAAGAGAAAATATGAGAAAAGGACCTTTTGGCGGCAAAAGATGGTAGCTGAGAAGATAAAAAGACCTAATCCAAAAGCTAATCGAGACTAAAGAGATTTTAAAACTAATGCGAGAAAGTCTATGCAATTCTACAGTTGCACTAGTTTATTAATTTATTTACCCTACATTGTTTCATACAAGGAGAAAATGTAATGAAAGAGTTTCGTGCGTTTTTGAGAATTTTTTTTTAAAAATTGCATTAATTTCAGACATAAATTAAGTGAATTTGGCTCGTTTTTTTTTAAAAAAATAAAATTGTACATGACTTTTTTCAGAGCTAATTGTTTACAACAGACGTTTAAAGCAGAAAATCGCTCACTTCACTTTTTAACATTTTCGAAAAAACGGAATAATAGTCGAAAATAGGACCCACCCCATATTTTTGAGCACTCTTTATTACAAATCAGGAGAAAATTTAAAGAAGAAATTTGGAGCGGTTTTTGAAAAAAAAAATGCCTATATTTCGCGCAAAATTACATGGATACAATTCATAATTATCAAAAAATCTAATTTTAACGATCATGAGACTACCACAGTTTTCAAGAATGCCGCCAGTCGATTATTCGGTATCAAGAACCAACAAAATATGGTTTCTGGCTATACCATGTGTTTTTTTTTAATTCAAAGATATAGTTTTTGGCACAGTTTTTCGATTGTTTGCAATAGCGCCAATTCAAACTGTCTAAATACTTCTTCCTAAATGAGTTCGGTCGTAAGAGCACTAACGAAGCGAAGTAGCGGTACCCTACGTGTTCAGCGCATGGTGGGGGTAATTCGTGAACAAGTGAACGCTGCATTCCCCACATAACTAGTAGATCGCTAGAATACCCAAAACGGTCTTCACAATTCCATTCAGATATGCAGTATGGTATTAATGAGCATAAAGATATTCTATATTTCAACTTTAAAGGAAAGACAAGATGGTATTCGGGATTTATAATAGAATGTGAAGTCTTCCCAAGCAAATGGGCTCCTGATTAAATGTAGTTACTAAACAGTATGCTTATTAAACTCTGTTATTTGTTGACCCCCCTCTACCACTCTGCCCAACCCCACCAACTTCCCCCTGGAATACTGCCCCTTTCCACTCCCCCGTGTCTCACATCAACAAATTCTGCTCCGCGCTACCCACTCCTGTGTCCTGTTCCACACTTCCCCATTCTCCCTTGTTCTGCTCCACTCTGCTGTATCGCTCCACCTTTCCTTCTTCTCCATCCTTCCCCATTCTGCACAGATCCAATGCACTGTACCCCACTTCTCTGTCACTACCTTACCTCGCTCCCCCTTACACTCTGCCCTGACCTCTTTTTGCTCTATCCTTTCCTTCCCCCTGCACATTCCACCGTTCTGCTTTGCTTTTCCTCACTCTTCTTTTCTGCTCTACCCTTTCCCACTCCACCTTGTAAAACCACTCTGTAGTGCTCTGCCCTGCTCATACCCCCCCCCCCCCGGCCCACTACTGCCCTGTTCCCGCTGCACCCTGCCCACACTCCACCCTTTGTGGGTCCTGCCTCCCCCTGACAAACTTTGCCCTGCCCTATATCTCTTTTCCCTCTTCCACTCCACCCTGCTCCATATATAATATAATATATAATATAATATACAATTATGGAGAAAGATACACATGTTTATAGACAGTGTGAAAATAAAGAAATTAAAAATTCTGAGAGAAATGTAAATGTAGAAGAATATTAACTTTGAGGGGAGCTAAATTTCATTGATGGTTAAGGTACATGGCAAATGTTTCTTGTTTTAAAAATAAATTTAAAAATGTGCAACATTATACTAAATATAATTTCTTTCTTTCAGACTTTTGTTTCGGGAGATGAGAGCCAGTGTATGCGTCTACTTACCACAATTATTCAACAGCCACAAATGGGTGGCATTCTTGGACCACATTTTACTCCAGCTGCTGCAAGCACACCTACTTTCCTACAGATGTATCAGACCGTTGTTGGCATTGTAGATCAACAAGCACCTGAACGTATTTTTGTTCTTCTTTCCAAGGTTTTGTAGTTACTTTTATAACAAATGTTTAAGTATTACCATAAGAACTTTGATTGTATTTGGCTATTTTTGTTCACCAGTTTGATGTACCACGGTGGCTGGTCTCTCGGCGACCTAGGTTGAGTGAGCGATCTCAGTTCATAGAGTTGGTGGGCAAAGCTCTTACCACTGCTGGTTTGAATCCAGAAGATGAGAAGCTTATTCTTCATGAAGTATTTCGAAAACATCTGCGTTTCCTTCTTATGTACGACTTTCCTGAACATTATGGTGAAATCTTGAACCTTGCACTCCGCAGTAGTGAAACCCAGTGCTTGGCTCTTGATGTGTGGTTCGATATTCTTAATGCCCTTGTTGCTGGAGGAGAAACAGCTCAACGAAGGCTTAAACAAGGTCAAAACTTAGGAAAAATAAAGGAAGAAATTCGCAGATATGCTACAGAACAAAATTTACTGACACATAGTGAGGTATAGTATAGGAAAATTTGAAATTAATTGAATTAATATTTTTTGCAAAATTCTATCCAAAATATGGCATTATTTCTGGTTGAAGCTGCGAGAAACTGCATCTTTGGTTGGAAGCCATTTTATGAAAGAGAGACTTCAGTATGGTTTATATGGACTATATCCTAAATACAGGGTTTACATTGAACCTTTGACTACATTCTTGGGGATGATAGGACATGCATTAGTGGTCAGTACACTTCAGCATGATCGAGGCACATTGTCTGACAAGTGTAAGTAGACAAGTAAGGGTGTTTTTCAATATCATAGTTGGTATCTTTATTTTATCTCTCGACATTTTATCATGCATTGACAAATTTCATGAAATTAAATTGAGTGTATTGAAATTAAAATGAAATACTAAAGAATAAAGAGAGAACTGTCATTTGGAACTGAATGAATAAAATTGTCATGAACATGTTTCCAAATTAGTGATGGTACAACAGTATTTAATTTCTTGCATTATTTGTAACATTTACAATTTTCGAAAATTTAGAGAGTTCAACAGAAATGGTTCCCGTACCATTTTTATAAGGGTAATTTGATATATTTGAGAAAAATTAATGGAAGAATTGGGACCCATTTTTGAGAAAATATTTATTTTTTAAAATTAAATTGTTATTAAATTACTATTTACTACTCATTTTTTTAAAAATTGTACATGACCTTATTTGAAGATCTTTAATTGAAGAACAGATTTCATTATGGAAAATAATATCTTACCTTCAGTATTATAGTTATAGGAAGAACTGAAAAAATTTTACAATTTTCAAAATTAAAAGTTGAACAAAAATGAAATGTTTATGAAAAGTAACCATAAAAATAAAATTATTTATTTCAAATGTGCAGGGCCTTGAGTTCAGCCAGATTGATCAGGGAATATCAGTTTTGGAGAAATCTTCTGAACAATTTAGGCACTAGTGTTGCCACAGATGGATGGATTAATTAGTTTATTGCCTTTGTGCCATACACTAATCTTTCAGTATCGTTTAGACAGAAAACGTGGATTCTGACTACACTGTGCGTTAGAGGAAGTCATTTATTACGTATAGGAACAAGATTTCTCCACTTTTTGTATCAGAACCCCACAATAGGAGATTTTTCTGCCCAAAAATAGGGCTATATATTTGAATGAATAATATGCTCATATAATTTATTCTTTGATTTACGGCTTTTGCTGATTACTTCACATAATTTACGTAGTATGTGAAATATGATATTGATTTCATTGCAGTGTGTGAGCAACTGTGGCCTTCATTGTGTGATATGTTTTCACCTTGGCTTACGCCATACTGGACAAAAAATTTGAAAGAACCAACTGCTGCATGGATCCAGCAATTGACAGATGATCGATCAGTATTACTGCCATGGATTACTGCTGATGGACCTCATGCTCAGCGAATGGTAGCAATGTTTGTTGAATGTGTTCGATTTATTTTAGATACATTGCCAGGTAATAAAATAAATTGACAGAACTGTGCAGTTGATAATTACACTTACGAACATATTTATCCTTATCAACATTTGAATTTTTTTCTCCAGCTTGCAGCAATATTCTGTGCTTTTTGTGGCAAATGTATGTGTCTAGTTTTGCTCATTCTGCTGTTAAAGATTACATATTAAATGTTATGCATGGCAGCTTACAAACCTTGCCTTGGGATAGGTTTTGGCCAAGCATGCAAGATTTAGAACTCATGCTGAAGGTGAGGAAAGTTCAGGATATTTGTGTAAACGGCAAAAATGTGAATAAACTTTAATTGTGTAACATTTTTTAAACTTGGTAGGTAGTTGATCAGTATCTCCCAGATTGTCATTCCTTTCTTGGTGCTGTATTTATTGAAATACCATGGTGGAATTGGGTGGGTCATGTTCTCAATTCATACTCCAGTTCTGTGTCAACACGAGCTCATGTGTGCTTGTTACATCTGCTGGTAAAACTTGCTAGTGAACCTACTGTGCGACAGGTACATATGTGAACATTATAACTTTAATTATGCATTTGTTAGTTAAAATGTATTTTAATTGTTTATTTTTTCATAGACTGCAAAAGTTACTCCACTTCTTCAAGAATCTCAAAAATTTGCCTGGCATTTATTAGATTCATCAGCATATGAGCCAGTTATTAATTGGTGTGTAATGAGCCTAGACCCACGAGTTATACTCTCCCTGGATAGTGAAGAATCTAATCCTATTGATAATGCGGTTTTAGAGTAAGTGATTGATTTGATACATATTAATATTGACTTGCAATTTTTACACCCTATTACATACCCTCCTGGTGCTAAATGTAAAATAAAATACACTAGTGGTACTACAGAATGGCTCTGACTTTCCCATATTATTTTTCTATATCCTTTGGTCTTGACTAGCTATTTGGACTTGCCATGTACTCTTGACAGCTGCTATCTATTGCTGCCTAAACTACATTTTTCTGAAATTTTCTTAATTTTTCGACTTCCTAATGGTAAATGGAAATATTATTTTAAGAATATCAACGAATAGTAAAACCTCGCTCTAAGTGACAAAATTCTTCGAAAAATTTGGAGTCATTCTTAAGAAAATGGCAAGAGCTACTGTAAATTCAAAATGTGAATCTCTTTTCACAGAAAACCATTGAGTTTCCGAAAAATCTCTTATAAAGACATTTCATTTTTCCAGTCACAAATGTTATTTTGTTTACAATTTGCTGGAAATGTGCATATTTAAGGAGTGAGAGATATTTTAAAAAGATTAAAGTTCTTGAGAAAATTGGTTTGAGTGTTTCTGAAAATGCAGAATTTTGAGCTAATTTTAACAGAAAACAGTTGAGATTTTGAGAAACTTTATATGAAATTATTTAAAGCACGTGTTCTCATCAATAATGTGAACAAGTTGCCACTTATGTAATACTAATGTGGGGGAAAAGTTTAAAAAATTACATTTTTTAAAAATGTTTGAAAAAACAAAAGAATAGAGCAATATGGCGTCATCGTATAGACTACATTTAGTACTATCCTGACCAAAAGTTTAAAGATCAAATTTAGGACTGTTTTTGAGAAAATCTACTTTTTGTAATTTTTGAAAATTGATCATATTGCTAAAAAACTTACATATTCTTAATGAAAGAACTCACTATGGAAAATAAATTTCATTTGAAGGATTCAACTCTATCTTCAATTTTCTAGTTGTAGGAAGACGCAAAAAATTCAAGCAATTTTCAAAAATTGAGAGTTAATTTTTTTTCAAAATCTCAAAGATTTGACTTCAGCCAGATGTATAGGGGTTTCTTCAATTTAGTAAAAACCCTACGTATGGTTTAGGTGCTAATGGTGTTTAGATGGACAGGCACACGTTTTAAAAGAAACACTTTTTCATTATCAGGGGACCCCAAAACATGTATTTCCATTGAAATCTCAAAATCAATTTTCCGCAGCATTACATAACTTTCCCTATACTACGTATATTACTCCGTATATACTTTCATTTATGAGAAAGAAAAAAATATAGAAAATATTTCTTTTACTCCTCACATAATTAATTAATTTTATAAGAAAATCTTCAATCAATAAAATTTACACAACATTATGATTAAATCCTGTGCAATAGTATTATTATCAATGATGCTTTAGGGCTGTAAATAAATGTCAAAAATTGTTTTTTTTAGGATTTATGTGACTACAATGGAATTCAGACTTTTTATGTAGTTTAATATCCTGATTGTGGTAAATTGAATACATTGTATGAATATTTTCAAATCATCTTCAATTATCTTGGGAAATAAAAATCCACAATTAATGTATACAATATTAATTCACAACTGCCAGAATCTTAAGTGATCAGTAACATTCTCCAGCCATCACAAAAGCATATGAAGTATATATTCCTTTAGAAACATTGATAATGATATCAATATGCTTTTCAGATTATTGCAGATTGTTGCTGCTTATGTTCCCACATGTACTCATTTCCACACCACTACCTTGAAAAAACGGCAAATGTTTGTTAGAGCATGTGTGAAATTACTCATTTCATGCTCTACAAGGTATGGGACATTATTGAAAAAGAAAGAAATATTATTCCGGGCAGCTATTCATAAACTGCTGGATGATGTTGAAATAGTTGTATCTGCAAGTAAGGCTTTTCTTTTTCTAAACAATTATGCTTGTGAAAGTACAGGATGTGTCAGAAAAATGTGCACAAATGCTGAGTACAGGTACACAAAAATGAGGGATGGAGTTTTCATAAATATTTTAGTGTTTGAAATGTATTCTGTGCAATGCAGTGTTGAAAATTGTGTCTGCCCTCTTGCGAAGTTGGCATACCAACTTTCACTCAATGCTGACAGGTGGTCTCTCTTTCAGGCAGACCTTTATACCACAAATTTTGCAGTAGAAGGTTACCAAAAAGCATCACAGTTTAGGAGAAGAAAGGAAAAGACGTACTGCATGACAAATTATGGTTTCATTGTCACACTTCATTATCCTTAATAAGAAAAATTTAATTAAAATTAATAATAATGTCACCAGGATTTGTTGACAAAAGTCCCTCGGTCCTCTCTACATTTGTGCACTAGTCTCTGCAACACCCTTTTGGAGATAAACAAAAATTCAACTTATTTCTATCTGATAGTAACGAAGAAACATTTTTGTTTTGCTGCTTTTGTTTTTAGGGCACATAAACACTTAAAGAGTTTAAAAAGTATTGTTTTCTTAGTTTTATCAGATATTACATCAACTTTATCATCTGCTTTTGGGTATAATTTACAGGTGTGCCACTACTCCAACAAGTTCCAGAATCTGGTCTTCTTCTATCAGAAGTATTAGTTATAGTGAACCAATCCCCTACTAGCCCTTTAGCGGTCCTTACAATAGAAAGTTGTGTCTTATGGCTTGGAAGAAGAGATTGCTCAAGCATAGTCCTTCAGGGTTTTTTTTGTGTTTTGGGAACTGCACTCACTGTATCTGAAGCTCTGGGAACTATTCTTGAAGCAGCATTGCAGTCCTTTTTTAAGAAGTCTGGTGAGTAGATATAAATACACATTATAATTTTGTATTATTTTAGAATATGTGCTACATTAAATAGCTTTTTTTAACTAGTGACACAAACAGCACCACCTACATGGCAACAGGCTATTGCTATTTTGCAACCTGTTGTACCAAGGCAACCACCAATTGAAGATGTGTTCTTGTCAAATGGGAATGTTTTAAGTTTATATGCTTTATTGCTCAAAAAATTACCAATGTGTAGAGATATTCGTGAAGAAGCAAATGTGTTGGATACCCTGGTTGAATGGTTGATATCAATTAAAGCTACGTAAGTTTTTTTGTTAAACTCTCAATTTGTAAATACACTTTTGGTTTATTACTTGATTCCAATTTCAAAACATTAGCACTTAAAAGCTGTACTAAACTTCCAATACTGCAATTAATGCAACTTTATACTTTGTTTTAATTAATAAAGTTTATACTTTGATTTAATTTTTATTCCAGTGAAGCATTGGAATCTAAATTGCCACTGTTATGGAGTAAGATACTAGCTTTGTCCTTACGCCAGTGTGAACTGTCTGGAGATGTGGCAATGGCTGTGAAGAGTCTACGTAAATTAGTACAAATTTTAATGCAGCTAGCAGAAGACCGTAGTGTTGGAGGATGGGGTATTTTAGGTGCTATTGGATTACGTAAACAGTCTCCCGTATCTGTCAAGTAAGCACTTTCTTTCTTTTTTTTTTTTTATTTTATATTATTGCATGAATATAACCAATTTTTGCTTTAACCAATCCAAATAAATTATGTAAATCAAATGTTTCCTCATTTATCTACAGATGTCGACTTCTGGCACGAATAACATCAGTGTATGTTTTATCACAGTTACCTGAAGGTGAAACAAATCTTGTTAGAACATCTGCAAATGCTCCTGGTGCTTTATCAAATACTAATTCTCCTGTCAGGTAAAGTACTAAATAAACATTAAAGGTGTCAACATGCTGAACATGAAATTAAGTACAAGTTGTGCATTATTACCAGGTCAATTTTTTGAGGATTATAAAAACAATCAATAGTCCTTTTTGTATTTGGTAGTTGCTCTGTATATTTTCAGGCAAGTTTATTTTTGTGAATATTTGTTTTGCTGTTGTAACATTATGAATTTTACGTTAAATCCAGTTTAATATTTAAATGGAAGGACCTCCGAATTAGAGACTCAAAAAGAAATTATAACATTATTAACTTTCAAAAACAATGTATTAATACCATATTTACTCAAAATCCCCTAATTTTGTAGAAGCCTCATAAGAATTTTTAAAATTGTTTAACTACTTCTTACTAGTTAATCAGAATAAAATCACTAATTGTCTTATTGACTAAAAATTGCCTTGATGTGAATATTATGATTTATTGCCTGAACTATTATTTTCTTGTTCTTATCATCTTAACATAATCATGGTTTTTGTCACTAACCTCTTCTTCGCATGTATCAATGTTTCTTTTTGCTCCTCCTTCCATATTGCAACATTTTAGGCCCCTCTGAAAGTTTTATATCTGTCCGACACTTATTGATGACCTCTTGTTTCTTTAACAGTTCTTTAACAGAATAAATTTTAACTTACCATCGTTTACTGTTCGTATGATCGATTTGTAAACGTGAACGCGACATCTATGGCCCTCCTTTTCGCGGGTAAATTGAGACAGCAGCAAATATCCCAGTTTGGGAAGTTTTTGGTAAGAAAACATTTTTTTTAAATCCTCCTTTCTGCAATTGGATTTACAATGCGTGAATCTGTATTTTTTTCATTTCCGACTTCTAAAGCGGAATATCATACCCCGGGCGTCGAACTGAGATTCCGCGCGTCCTCATCGAACCTCCAACCAGCCTCCAACAGTAATAACTGTATGTGACTTAGGGGGGAAAAGATTATCTGCGCACGTTTTCTTGAGTTCCGGAATCCCTTCCCATCATTTTAACTATAAATGACGGATGAATAAATGAAATATGAGTAAAAGTTAAACATAAATAAATAAAAATAAATTTTAAAACTAGCAAGAAGAGCAATATTTGAAAATTATAATAATAATAATAATAATAATAATAATAATAATAATAATAATAATAATAAATTATTAATAATGGCTAATAGTTGGTCACTGCTGGCAACTACTTGTGTCTCGGGAGAGCAAATTGCGGAGCCACGATTGTATGCGAACTTAACTGAACGCAGTCATTTTTGTTGATGCGTCCGTTTATACTTCAATTTATTCACAGTGTCCTTTGATGGGTCATCAGCTGTAATGGTTTCATCTAATTGAGAGCTTAAACGTCACCATAGTGACGTCTCTATAGTGAAGTTAAGCTCCCAATTGGATGACACCGTAACAGCTGATTTACGACTAAGGCATATTTAAATTTAATTACAATTTAAATTTAATTACCTTGCAATGCAACGAGCTGGAATAGCCATAGAGCTATAGAATATACTAATATATTCTAGCTCGTTGTTGCAATGTCATCGCGCTGTTCATTTGTTTCCCTTCCTGTCAAAATGCTCCCTTAGAGTAATTCCTCTGTACCAGGGGCGTATTCAAAGACAATTTTTTGGAGGGAAAATGCAAAAGTTTTACTTGGATGTGTCGTATTACATATTTTGTAAAATGTCTCAGACTACATTCAGTACATGCTGCCGTACGATTTTATTCGTTTAAACTATTACCGAACAATATTTTTGCTTGAAATTTTCGTGACAAGTTAAAATTAATAGTTACTGAAAAAATTTAGGGGAAGAAATTTCCCTCATTTTCCTCCCTGTGGATCGGCGCCTGTCTGTACGTATTGTAGATACACTGATATTTTTGTCGTCTTTGCAACTTATTGTTACATCAATATTTACGAGTTTTGTGACAAGAAAAGGCAATATAAAAAAAAAAAAAATAGGCGCGGACCGTCATTAAAGGCTGCAAGCCTCCACTACAGAAGACGCACCCCTAAAAGAAATTTAAAAATATATTTTTCTTTTGCGTCCATAAATACACGCTTGGCTCCATAGCAACCATCTAAACAAAGCTTTAAGAGCGCATCCGACTCATACCAACGGCCGATAAAATGCTCGAGAATCAATAAAATATTTAACGGACTGTCGGGTTTAGTTTTACCAGTGCTCATGAATCTTTCGAAAAATATGTCCCTTTTATCCCATTTTCCATTTACCCCCTTGACTCATTCTGTTCCATTGTCCCATTTTGTCCGACCCATTTTGACCCCTTGTCCAATTTCCTCCCTTTCCTCGTTTCCCCCTTCGTTCTTTAATAATAATAATAATAATAATAATAATAATAATAATAATAATAATAATATTTATTGAGAAAGAGAGAGGAAGTGTGTGTGTGTGTGTGTGTGCGCGTGCGCGCGTGCGCGTGCGCGCGTGCGTGCGCGCGCGGGCGTGTATGTTCCTTTTGCCAGTGCGATTAACGGTACCCGGTACCCGGTAAAAACGGTACCAAGGCCCTACATCAACAACCCTCGCTACAGAACATTGAGAGATATAACAATTCTTAACTCTGTTAAATATTTATTTTGAATAACTAGAATAATTAGAAATAACAAAAAACATTGTATGCAACACGTCCTCTATTAGTCTTTAAGGACTCTTCCAGCCATGTCCTTCAAACCTAATTTAGAGGACGTCTTACGTAATAGTATATTCTTCAACGAGTACATAATAATAGCTATTATTCACTTGTTCATTGATGTTTACGACACGAGCTCCTATGTCGCTCGTGTCGTAATTTCTACGAGTGAATAATAGTGTGATGACATGGGTACTCACAGCGAAGACAGGCACGATCTTTCATATTTACAGATATTTATTTACAAGAAAAGATAATTACAATTGAATCCACAATTTACACCCTAGCTCTGAGAGACCTGCTATCCTGGAATCGCAGGAGCGATTCAAATCCGATTGATGATCGGTTTAAATTGTGACACTCGCCACTCGTAAATCTGCAGTTTCCACAAAGCCATGCTTCCGTGACCGGATGTGACACTAGGACACAGTCCTTACAGGCGCATCAAATAATGATTTGCCTTGATCGCAGGAGCGATCTTACCCGATTGATGATCGGTGTGAGTCGTGGGTCTCCTCACCTCGGAGCACGCACACAGCATCGCCCCCACGTGACCGCAGTCACACATGGACAAAAAGTCCCCACACGCGCGTCAACACGCGACTTGCCTCGCGAGCCCTGCTCGCCTCTGCACCGCCCTGGTGCAAGTTTTGTGCATCGGCACGAAGTTCTCATCCTTTCTCCTGAACCCACCCACTGGCACTGTACACTCCCATATATTATTGTGCCTCACGTGGCATACTACGTCACGCCGCCTCTGCAGCTCGCTTATGCTTGCACGCGGCCCTGATGTTTTGGTCTCCGTTTCCTAAGATCGGGGAACTCCAGAGCGCCTCGTGTCTCCCTTTACCACATGCTTGCTTTCGGAAATGCCCTTCTCTCCTTCCTGTGGTGTGGCGTTTTCCTGTTGCCCCTACTTTCGTTCCCAAATAGCTGCCACGAGGTTCGATCGCTAGTACGTTACAATAGCTATTATGCGCGAGCAGAAGACTATACTTACGAAATTGAGATTTTCAGAATAGATTTTGACACAGTTGTTTTTGCTATTTACGTCGGCAAACGCGCTTAGCTCCTTAGCTACTAACCATTCAACGCTTTAAGAGCGCGACCATAGTAATGACTGTTAAAATGCTCGAATCCATTAAAATATTTTAGCGGACTCTCGAGTTTGTTTTACCACTGTTCATAAATCTTTGAATAAATATGTCCCTTTTGCCCCATATGGCCCTTATCCTTTTTGTCCCATTTCGTCCATTTCCCCCATGTCATTTTGGTCCCATTTGTCCCCTTAGCTCATTTCGTCCTCTTGTCCCACCCGTCTCATTTTGTGTCCTTGGCCCATTTTCCTCATTATGTTCCCTTGCCCCACTATGTCCCCTTCTTCCAGTTTGTCTCATTGTTTCTAATTGTCCCGTTTTTTCTAATTTGTCCCCTTGCCTACTTTGTCACCCTTTCCCAGCTTTATCCCCTTTTTTCTATTTGGTCCTTCCGTGCTCTGCGGTTATTTTAAAACAGTATTGCAAACTGCAAAGAGAATGCAATTGTGCTCGTGGATGTGTGATTGATGTCATTTGTCGATTAAATATACCGTAGGAATATGTTTGTTATGAAATGGTCATAGAACAATTTTTTTTATTTATCTCAGATAATCCGGAATTACTTGTTTTCCAAATTGAGTTATATGATTATTAGTATTCTCTAAGAAGGTAATTGGGATGAAAGTAAAAACAATTTTCAGTTTGTATTGTCATTAGTATTTACAAAAACAAGCATCCCTCCAGGCCGTCAAGACAATAGGCCAACTTTTTGTGAAGGTAAAGACTTCTAACATGTAACTTGTTTGGGCTTCAGTATTTTCAAATAAATGTGAAGAAAAGTGAGTGTTGTGGTTGCAACCACAAATAACTGCAATAAATAAAGAAAATAATATTATAAACTCATTTTGTACTACTTTATGATGAGCTAATGTAGCTACAAATATGAAGGAGTTCACCACATTTTAGGCATTGTGGGGGACATTCAGTTTCTTCTGTTGTTTCTCATCGGTTGGTAATTCACCAACATTATTTTCCCTTCCATCATCTCCTTCTTCAACATCAAGGATTAGGCCAGAAGGCCTTTCCATCCTCCTCAAGGTTGATATCATTAATCCACAGAGTCTTTGGTCTTCCAACTCTTTTTTTGTCAGTCAGTACATAATTTATTATTTGTTGATGGAGTCTGACATTGTTTATTCTAACAATATGGGTGTACCAATTGTGTTTTATCTTCGACTCTTTCTAGGAGGTTAAAAATATTTAGTTCTTGTATATCCACATTTTTATGATCTAGTAGAGAATAGTGAGCAACATTTCACAGGAACTTCATTTCGCTAGTTTGAATTTATCTTCTTTTGATGTGCCCATAAAAATGTAATCTATGCTTTCTGATATCACTGAATATCTGTATATTGTCTGATTTGTTTTTTTTATTTTGAGTCTGTACTGCTCGTTTGTGAATTTTGGACCAAGAATTTTCCTACTGATGAATTTACCTACCTCCTCCTACTATTGTTGGCAATGACAACGTTTATAATTATTTCATTTCCTACTGATTTTGCATTCCTTTTTTTCTTCATATTTTCTGCCTTTTCTCCTGTTCAAAATTAGTGTTTCTGAGCCACATAGAGATTCTTGTTTTATAAATATTTTATAGAGTCTGTTACATGTCCTTTGACATACTCTGACTGGGGACCTTTCCCGGTGCCTTTTTGTTTACTTTTTCTTCTTAATTTACTATTTCAAATTTCACCCGAATGTTCTATGAAGATCACCCAGTGACAATAAAAATTTATATTTTGTATATGCAAGTTCGATAGAACATCTATTCAGATGTTCAGTGACAAAACGTTTACGTAAAGTAATTTATTTATTTATTTCTTACGTAGGATTGGGAACTCTTTTTGTCGTTACTCAGAAATAATAATACTTATTTTGGTTTATCAACATTTCCATCTGTATAAGGCTGGGAAACTTTCATATTGATCCAAATATTCTATTTAAAAACAACATTTTTTTCTAATACAATTTTTCTGTGATAAATTAATTTACTGTTACTATATAATACTCTTCATAAATCCCTTTTGCACACATGGCCAATTTTCCCTCGTAATTACTAATTTAGAATGCAGACCCGTCAACTCCTCTCACACAATCTAATTCCTGATTGGTTACACATGTTTTTACTGTATATTCTTTGTTTCTTGTTTGATAATAACTTTCTTAATTTATTTACTTCCCCATGGAATTTGTTCACGCGCCCTTTCGCTGCATATTTATCAGCATATTCTGTATTTTCCCTGCTATCAATTATATTGACCTTTCCTTATAATCTTTCCAATTAACACTCACCTGTTTCTTTCCCTCCATTGTTGCTATTGTCCATGAAGTTCCTGTTTATTTATCCTTGAGATGACCCATCAGAATACATTGTTTGTTATAGATATTTTGGGTGTGACGATCTGCTTCTTCTTTTCTTTTCTTTTCTTTTTTTTTCTCTCTATCTTTTTTCCATCGAGATTCATTGGTCTTAGTATCAATTCCATTTTCCTGAATTATTTCCCCCAGGTATTTAAATTGGGTGACTCTCTTAATTTTGTCATATTTTGTTCCAAACTGAGGTGTCTTTGTTACAAGTAATAGATTCATTTTTTCAAATGATATCTGAAGACCAACTCTCTTTGCCAGTTCTTTAAGGAGTTCAATCTGTTTTTGTGCTGTTTGAATATCACATGTCAGGATTGCCAAATCATCTGCATGTGCTAAACAGTCATAGTCTTGCTTAATTTTTTTTATAACCAAATAATGTAATTAATTTAAAAGAAACATATGACTTACAATGTCCTGTAAACTCTTGTCACATACAAAATAATTCTTATTGCAGAATCAGTTATTGCAAATCTGACATTCCATATTTATTTTTATCATTTTATGAAATGAATGCGTATTGCTTTTTGCTAAAATAATGTGATATTGAAAATAATTAATTTAAAAAAAATTAATAAACATGAGTTAGGAATTATCATACACTTCAACTTATTTTCCCTTGTATAATAGAGATATATAAAATATTAGTTTGCAACCCTGAAGTGGAAAAAAAATTATGTTTGACTTAGACCTTAAAAATTGAATAAAGATGGAATGGTATACTTGTAATGTTGGTCCTGTTTTTTCAAGTTCTTACGACTAATTCAGACAATGAAAAGTCTAGTAAATGGATGAGTTTAATACACATACTTTTCATTCTGACATATTCAACACCAATCATACTGAAAATGCAAAATATGAAACCATATTGACAAGATTGCAACTGCTCATACTGAATAATGCAAATTATGAAACCATATTGACAAGATTGCAACCTTTATGTACCTCAAATGAAATCAACAATTTGTAAATTACAGTGTAAAGTGTGCCAGTATATTAATATTGTGTGAAATATGTTTGGATTGACCTATGTTTTATTGAAATGTTTATGCTTTTTTTTTTTTTAGGCCTAATGCACCAGAATGTGCTCTGCCAACTCCCAGTGCTGATGCTTTGAAAGCACTCGGTAACTTAGAGGCTCTTGCAACTAATAAGAATTATGTTGAATTGAAAACCTGCATTGATCTGGGAGTGAAGCACATTGTAGATCCAGCAAATTCATTGCATAATGCATCTCAAATTTTGGGTATCTTAGCCAATGAATTATACCAGTATCAGTACCTATTGGGACTTAAAGTCTTATAAACATTACATTGTATACCTCATCTTTTCAATGGTTAGTATATTCTATTATAATTAAATATGTATCAAAGCTAAAATACAGTTGTAAGTTTAGCTTACTGAATAAAATAATATCAGAAAAAATAGATTAAAACGTTAAGTTTAAAACATGGTTTGTTAGAACTGCATACAACTAAGCTACATCTTCATCTCTTAAATTTTTTATATAAACGAAACTTTGTAAGGGTTCATGGTTTCAGAAACTATTTTACCTACACTGATGCAATAATATTTTATTAGTATGCTCATATGGATGCTATAGAAAGCTTCATTACAAAGTATTGGTGCTCTAATGGATTTATTTTGGCACTAACTTCATTATGACTTCATTACATTTGTTTTTGACAAAATATTAGTATTGTTTGACTCAAGTAATTTTGAAAGAGTAAATAAGTATTTTAATGAAGATGTTAATATAAAATAACCTTGAAAGTAGATAGTAAATAAATAAATTTAAAAAAAGCTTTTGTAATTGTCATAGATAAGTTTGTATGATAAACATCTGGTAGGTCAGCTAACACTTCAGAGTGCAAAAGTGATACTTGTTGCCTAGTGATGTCTGTATCAAACTTGTTTAATTAATAATTAATATTTTAAGTTAGTGTGAACGTTTATTATTGGCCCTAAGAGAGTGGGATTTAGACACAAGTCTATTTTGGAGGTGCAGCATACAAAAAATTTACGTGTTTGTGTCATTCTTTAAGCCTATATGTTCATGAATTCAAATGAAAATCTTAGAAAATAGATATCATTCACAAGATCCTCATCTTGGTGATTAAAATATATTGAGATGCAAGATCTAACATGTCTAACAAAGAATATTTTTATTTTGTTGCAGGTGCTTTGGATCTTATTTCGCTACAGAAGTCAAACAAGATACAATTTTTAGAATTATTGGAATTTATTTGTAATGTTAACATTTGGATGTCAGCAAAATATTTTATTGTATATATGTTCAAATTGTGTTAGTTACTACTCAAAGAATAGTTAAAACTGTATTATCGACAATTTTCATGTACTGAAAGAGTTTTACATTGTTCTTTTACATTTCCCTTGAAAGTAATTTGACTTTACCAGGAGATATAAAACATATTTATTGAGTGATGAAATATCAACAAAGGAAACTTACTAAAGGAAGGAGAAATTTGATCTCATGGCTCTTTCCTTTCAAACTCAATTTTAACTTGTTTACTTTTATATTCCATTCTCTTATGTATACATTTTAAAAAATATTCCTGGGGGATAAGAAGTAAATGTATTACTATTGACTGCTTTCATGCAAAATAGTGTAATCTAGTCAGATGGGATACATTGAGAAATGTATATGTTTGTCATACAATTGTAAAATGGGCTAATATTTTTTTTTCTTTTTCATTGTAAATTTTTATAGCAAATATTTAACATGGTCTAGGGTGTGCATCAATGCATTAAGTGAAGCAATTATCACTTAGTGCATTGGAAATGTGATTTTTTCTATTGTATCTTATACTTGCTTGCCAGGATACAAAGATCATTGTGATATTTTTATTGGAATGTGAGAGCTGTATGAAAAGTACATGCTGAGAACATTTTAAGATTAATAATGTATTTCATACATAAAATTGATTCGATTTTTATTAGTTATTTTTTATTTAAAAGTACTCATTATTAGAGAAAAGTATCAAGTGAAGGAATTGTTAAAATGAATGAAAGGCTGGGTTCGTAGGCTTCTGCAGCCGGGGTCAATGCATTCTTGGCTATCCGGGATAAGCTGCGTCTCGGTCAATTGTGCTGACGTTTCGGCCATCTTGCTGTGACCTTCTTCAGAGCTATACTGCTGTAGCAGCTGTATACTTCTAGCACTATAGCTCTGAAGAAGGCCACAGCAAGATGGCTGAAACATCAGCACAATTGACCTAGACACGGCTTATCCCAGATAGCCAAGAATGAACGAAAGGCTGTTCAAAAGCTTTTTTCTAACATTTAGCAAATTAAAATATTATTGAAGGTGAATTTCCTTAATTCGTTTAGTTAGGAAATATGCTGTTAAAAAATAAAATCTAAAGTGTTGAGGGCCTATGCAGTCTTATAAGTTATAATATATATGTATATATTGTGTCTTAAAAAGCTCAAAATGTGTGATTATGGAAGGATGTTCATTCAAAATGTTGCGAATACCTTGTAAATGAGTTTGCTGAAAGAATTGAACACATTACGTGAATATTGCCTTCTGAAGTGTTGTATTTGCCTGGAACATGCACATTTGCTTTTCAATATCACCCAGTGTGTCGGTTTCTCCTCCCTCCCCCCTCGTAAATTCAATTCTCATGCTACAAGAAAGGAGGCTTATGTGCCTCATATTCTAAATAATGAAACAGTTATTTAGTTCCTAATGTTGACATGTTTATTTTGAGCACAGTTGCTAACTATGTAGCAGGAATTATGTCAATGTAGTGCAGTTATTTGCTTACTAAAAACCATATTTCATTGATTGATTGAGTAAAGCTAAAGAAGTTATTTTATAATTTCAATAATTATTGTGGATGTTGTTAAATGTGTAATATTTGATGTACTTGCTATATATTCTCTACTCTTAGTGTGAGAGTACATGGTTCTTTGAGATATATTTGTATGTTTCTAACTAAATGCTTACAATTTTCTTTGGATGTCTGTAAAGCTGTAGTACACATTTGTAAACTGCATTAGGTGGAAAAAGAGGCAACAGCAGGCAACTATTGTGATCAAATGTGCACGTTCAGCTGCAGTGATGTGGTGCTAACAACAAATTTGTCTTTCAAGAAGGTTGTGTGATGAGTTGGAAACAGTTTTCCAGTTTCTCTTGGTGCAAATAAATATTGATGATTAAGCTTTAAAATGTGGCTTTAAGCAAAACATGAGCTTCATTTGCAAAATAGATAATTAATGACTGAAAATTTAGGTTTCCCGCTCTCAAGACTTCGAAATATCACTGCATTTTCGGTGTTAAAATACACACTTCATTCTTAGAGACTAGATTTTCAGAACAGGAATATAAATTGAAGTTCATTTAGAATATTCAGAATGCATTGTGCGTCAGTCAGTTACTAAATGTATATCCTTCTGGAGACCTAACTCAATCAACATAGTGAGAGCTTACGTAGATTGTGTGTGTTGATGTAGTGTTAACTATCTTATATCATGGAATATTTTGCAATTTATAGAATTTCATTAGCCACACTTGACTGTTTAGTCTACTTTATTCAAAAGCTGGATGTGAACTTTTTTTAACCATGCAAAAAATTTGTTTTTGGAGGAGACTCATGTTTTATGTGTACACACTTCGTTACTGTTTTGCACAATTTACCATTAGATCAACAATGGTGTTCACAAAATAGTGTTTTATTTTTCATTGCTAACTCTTGTGTGAAAACATATCACATACTCTAAATTAATGTGGAAATGAACCATCATGTTTTGTTGCAGTGTTCATGGCAAACTTTAAACTGCAAATAGTACAAGCCACAGGGTAAATTTAAACTTTTATTGAACATTTCAATCCATTTAATATTGAATTTTACATATTTGTCTATTAAATCAATTACACTAATTTTTATTAGAACACACTAATATGAAATTTGATTTGATAAATGAGAAACAAACTCATGATTTTTATTCCTACCAATGTCTCTCATATCTTTCACCAAATACAGGTCATATATTGCATTCTAAACTTTTAAATAAGGCATCTTTTTCATCCTTGGGATAATTAGTTAACAAACAATTAAACTGTTCACTGAAGCAGGACAAAAAAATAGGAATAGCATTTTCAATTGAAATAAGTTCATTTCTTTCATTTGTCAGTGATGTCACTTCCTTTCCCTCAATACCACATGGTACAATATGTGAAAACCACTCTAAATTTGTTGAACAATTTAAGGCTATTCCATGAGTTGTTACAAATCTGCTACCATGAATTCCAATAGCACATATCTTTCTATCTTCCACCCACACACCAGTATGAGGAGATGTGGATGCTGTGATATCATACTTCTTACATAATGCAATTACAGTATTTTCCAGCTGAGAAACATACCATCTCATACTAGGCTTAAATTCTTTAAGGTTTATGATGGGATAAACTACCAATTGTCCTGGTCCATGAAATGTAATCAATCCACCACGATTTGTACGATGAAATTCAGCTCCCAAAGCTTTTAACTTTTTTTCGTCTTCATGAGAATAGCTTTTGTCACGTATCCCTACAGTGTATACAGGATCATGCTCAATTAACACTAAAGTGTTATTTGTTTTTTCACATAATGATGGATTTTTATGATTACTGGCTAGCAAATACTGTAGTTTCAGTGCAGTTCTGTAGTCCATTCGTCCTGCCACTAAAACTCTAACAAAACGAGCCATTATCTTCTTTCTTCTCTTGCTGTTTTAAGCGCAGATATAAAACATAAGCAGCCTGTGAAAATAGAAAGAAGTTGCATTTTGTAGTTTTGTTAAAATGAAAAGTAGTGTAGCATTTATTTTATTAGTAAGCAATTAATGCTCTTACAAAAGCATCAGTAGCAGCATATTTCTTTTGCTTTTCAGACAAGTTGTATACAGTCCAATTACTCTTCCTCACAGTAATATCTTTATTGATGTCCATCTTCAACTACAATGAATTTAACATTTTTTAAAGATCTACTCATTGGTTAGAAATTTGTTGGAATACACTAAGGAGGTTTCAAGAGAAATCAGTTACCACATGTAAAACTAAACCAGCTAAACTCCAATTCTGGCTGCATTGTAAAACCTCATTGGCATACTTCCCCAGGTCTATTACTTTTGTTTCAATGATAGACTTGACAGATATGTCAAAATCTCTTCCCAGTTTCCACAAATCACTAAGAAAATAATGAAAGCAACTTATTAATCATCTCAACCAAAATGTCCAATACATTCATGCAACGTTTACTATATTTTTATCAGCCTACCTTGTAATGTTTACTCCTACTAATTTAGTTTTAGGATGTTCCATCAGGTGGATCATTGCCAACGGTAGTCTTCTCAAATTATTGACCTAATGAAATAAATGACTAAGCAATTTGCCCTAGTTTATAACATGTGTGGAAGGCAAAATTGAAATGTAATTACATACATGAAACAAATAACATTTTTCTTTTTGAGCACATATCTGTATTAAAGACGTCCTGCTACTGCTACTTTCATTAGATCTGTAAGTTACTGGCCATTCTGTGTCAAATCCCAAGATAATTTCATCCAGATGTGAATTTTCTTCCCTAAAATTACTTTTACATTACATAGCGCTGAGCTTGTATATTAACGTTCGTAGTGTTTCAAACAATGGGAAATTACTTACAAAATTTCTTCACAAGCAAATCCACACTCCCCTAACATACTACTATAAATAACTGATCCACAAAACTCGAGTTGAGGTAATGATGCTTTGTGCCCAGATTGCTGGAGAATAGAACGTTCTAATTCATTAACAAGTTCTTACTCATCAAATAATAACAAAATAAACATTTCTTCGGATATTACCAAATCTAATAGCCAGCTCGGCAATTTACGTTTTGAATTCTCATCCATTATCGATGTTCAAAATATTATCTGGCGACACGATGGAGTTGAATGAAGACCTTTACTACTGCGAGTACGACTAGATTTCCCGCGCTACCGGTACTCGACGTGAACATCACACCTTCCACGTGCCCTTCACCTCCCGAATGAACGACCTTGACAATAATAAACAAATGAAGAGCTGCTGAAAATTACCGAGGAAATATTTAAAAAATATTAAAACTTACATAATCATTCGTGTGCATGAATTCTGTCCAATAAGAGGTTATGCTAACAAAAGAAATGCGAATTATCTCGGCGAATAGGGAAAAGAAAATTAACAGTAGGTAGTGCGGTCAGTATAAATTACTAAGATTGACAACCAACCCGCTGATTTTAAATACCATGATGAGATCGATAATTAAAGAATGTAAATGTAAAAATAAAATCAGAATTACCTTGGTTCTCCAATATTCTAATGATCCATATAATTCATTAGATTAGTGAAGGTGAAAACAATGAACAAGAACTTCTTAGTACTTTCTACTTTCTTAAGTGGGTTGTGTATGCGTGTGAACATGTTGGGAATGAAAATGTAATATCAGTATGATAATCACGTTTCTTTTCGATGTCACATTCCCTCATGTTTCACTTACTTCTCGTCGGAACTCTACCTTTAATGTCCGATGTGGGTTACTGACCTAGTTGGGTCTTGTGGACAGTATTTTTGTGCGCCTAATGTTTCTATAGCGCTTCAGTCAAACACTATTCCTTTCAACGGAGAGGACGGACGCCTGCTGCGCGCGGGAGCTCGCTGGCACTGTCGAGAGAAACATAAAATACGGTGTACGTCAATGCACGCATGACAGTGTTATTCAATAGTGCGACATGAAGCAGAGGACGCGTATTCATCGTGACAAGAAATGAACTGGTGTTTAGAGTGAAAATTACGACCATATTTTAAAAAATATTGGATAGTATTTCAAGCAAAAATTGTTGTGATGCAAGTGTGGCGCGCAGTTTATTACATAGTGTGTAACAAATCAACAGCAATATTATTTTCTCTATTTCTAATTATTCCTGGGAAGCCTTTGGAAGGTAATTACGTTTTTTTGTTCTACTATAATTACGATTCCAAATATTTAATAGTTACAATATGTAAATTGTGTATTGGTTTTTCAAGTCAAATAGGCGCTTTGCTGAGCATTTTGGGATTCTGATGAACTAACGCGCAGCGATATCGTGCTTGCTTCCAGGACAATTGCTTCCAGGACAATTATCGCAGAAAATTTGCAATAAATATTGCAACATGTTGAAATTTAACATTGTTCAACTAAGACCCAAATGCATCAGTATGAGCCTGAGAGAAGGGCAATATTGACGGATTCTAACGTAATATATTCTTAATTTCTTAATATACGCTTAAAACAGTGGTTTCTTGGAGTTCTAAACATTTGTATTTCCTACCTATCGAGTACGTACGTAGGGATCACGAACTTTAATCTGAAAGTTTCAAGAACTTATAACGGTTTTAAAAAAATATTTTTGTATTCCGAGAAGGAATGTTTCACTTATTTGCATAAAATCCTTCGTTTAAGATGAAAGTCGCGATTATTTGCAACGCATCTCGAAATCTGTAAATTCGAGGGCAAGATGCAAGAAGGAAAAGCGTGTCTCCGGTAGATGGGGAACCGGCCAAGCGCGTTTCACTGCAGAGTGCGCGTATTCCAAACCAAAAGACAGCGAAAGCTTCGGGGCTTCGCGGGGCAATCGTGCGCACGTTTTGCGCTCCTCAGCGCAGCTTGTCCGATCGCGGCTCGCAGCGAGAGCCCGGCGGCGCGGCGTCCTTTCTCCGCGATGATATTATTTCAAGCTCCATTGAACTTGAACTTTCAACCGGCATCTCAGTTTTCTAGGGCACGAATCACAGCAGGTGTTTCTTCTCTTTAAGGTAGCTTAACGAAATATTTTGTTGCAGATTGTGGAGTAAGTAGTATTATAAATCACAGACAGCCTCGCAATGCTTCTTCGCCCGCCGGACGCATCATCAATGGCAAGCAGAGCCGTAAAGGAGCGTGGCCTTGGCAGGTAAATCTGTTTTGCTGAGATAGTTATGTAAAAATATATAGTACGTCGTCCGTTTACGGCCAAAACGCTATGTTACATCATACCTAGTTAGTATGAAAAAATCAAGTTGATGTTAATCAACATTTATGGTTTTCCTCCAGCTTGTATATACTTTGGGGAGAGAGAATTCTATTATCCTGTTCATTTTCAATCTGTTTTATGTGACTTTTCAGGTTTCTCTGCAGCTACTTCATCCGAAAATTGGATTCATAGGACACTGGTGTGGAGGTGTTCTTATTCAGTCCCAGTGGGTTGTCACAGCGGCACATTGTTTCCACAAGTAAGGTTCTGGCTAAAATGAAGCTGTCACCACACCATACTTTAATTGCTCGACATAACTTGCAACGCTCCAAGGAAACTTATAATCTGTGACGCTCTGTATAAAAGAATAATGAAATACAAGGGGCTTGCGCCTTTCAGGTCATTGTACGTTTTTGGATCGCGCGCCAAATAATTAGTTTTCGCGACCTGCTCAATTCTGAAAATATGCCACAAACTCAATCTACTAAGATTTCAAAAACTGAATGAAGAAAGTATTGATATTACGCGCGCAAGTTTTCTTGAACTCCTCACTCCTTTACTGAATAGCTGTATAAAGAGTAAACGATAACTAGGACCGTCGTTGATAAAATCTGATTATCAGAATTTACATAATAATAAAGGAAAATTTACGTAATAAATTACACAATTACGTATTAATATACTGCGTATTCAGGAGTGGATTTACGCCTAGGTACAGTAGGCATGTGCCTACGGCGACAAAATTTTAGGAGCGGCACACATTCTGACTTCAAATTGTGACTAAAAAAAACTCTTCTTCGTTGCATGGGATTTTTTCATAATTTGTATTCTATGAGTTTTTTGGCAAAATTATTAAATACTTGTAAATTAAATTAGGAACAGCCTTTTATAATTATAATATGTTTATATATTTATAACACGAATAAATAATTCATATAAATTTTAGAAATTATGCATACTTAAATACGTATAATTTTAATAATCCGTTTGAAGATGTCATTTCCTTCATGTATGTGTGTCGAATTTTTAAACATAAATTATACTTTTTATATACAACTTTTTTCTGGGTTATAAAAAAAAATTGGCGGCAATTTTTTGCGTGTCTATAGGCGACGAAGTTGTTATAATAATCTGCTTCTGTGCGTATTTAATATACATATACACATACCCAGGACCGGATTAAAGAGACCTTAAACACGAAAAAATAATAATATTCTTCGCAAATTTAAACATAATTATGAACATATATAAGCATATTTGTTATATTTATTGTCTCAAATTGCATTAATCTACCTATCTATAACCATCCCGATCTGAAATTTCAATTGAGTATCGGAAAAGTCAAATGTTCCGTTGGGAATAACGGTTCGTTATGTGATTACAAATTGGAGCATCCTCTATTCTAACCAATTTTCGAACAGAAATGTAAAAGTTTAGTTTGCGTTTTAGACCATTCTTAAAAGCAGTTTAAGACCGTCACACCTTCTATTAATAAACAATAATCACAATCTGATGACTGGTGCTTCCCGGTAAGGTACTTAGGATTGATCGACGGACCTATTGGGAACCGCAAAGAATTTGTTTTTGTTAGAAGGAATGCCATTCAATTATAAATTAACGCTTTCGTCCAAATTTTAATGCATTGCTTTCTACCAGTTACGCATTTAAGCCTCCCATTAATTTCGTTGTAAATATGTCAAGAGAGACCAAGTGGTAGAGGCAGTGACGAGAAGTAGGTGGCACCAGCAGGTGGTGAAAGCAATTGGCCCTTAATGCTCCACAAATGATAGAGAGAGTTTCTGAAACCTTCCACTTGCTTCCCATTCCTGCTCCTCCCACAACTAGTTAATTTCAAGGCATTGCTCCACATTTTGAGAAAGTGGTATACCAATGTCATAAAATATACTACTTTAATATAAACATTTTCTGAATTCTATTTTAAATTAATATTATCATTATGTGATTGAAAATTTCCTGTCTTTTTTCTTTTACTATTTTTCAGTGATTTGTTTAATTTACCTATCCCTGTTCTCTGGACTGTGGTCCTTGGAGAGTGGGATAGGGAGTTGGAAGAGAAGACTGAGATACGAATTCCAGCTGAAAGGATATTCCTGCATGAGCGCTTCAGCAATTATCACAATGATATAGGTACTTTCTGAATTTTTCTAAATGCAGTACAAGTGGGTTATCATATTTTGGCGGAGAGCAATATCTAACCACTAGAAACACATTCACAACAGGAAAACTTCTAAAAACACATCTTGAATATTTTCTTTTATTCATTTTGAGAACTCTATTTTGAGTCTTGTGTGGCTATTTAACATAGCTAATTAATATTAGTTTTTAATAATCAGGTTAGTTAATCAATAAATTCAGTAACATCAAAGCAACTTACTTGCAAACAAATATCGCACTTAAGGAAGAAGAGGGCCACAAGTGCAAAAGTTATTTTTGGCACTTACATTTTAAAAAATCTACCATATTCAATTTTTTACAAACTAATTTGATCTTTACAGACTAGGCAGATTGAAAGGCATTCTTTATGAATGTTATTTCAGGTTCACGAAATATATAATTATTGAACAGTTTTTTGCTCTTTTTGCCATATAGAAATAATTTTATGTCAAATTATTTTATTATATTGTACACATTTTATGTTATTTAAATTATTTTATTATACATTTTATGAAGAAAAAAATAAAATAAAATCTTTCAGTTACAACCATATCTAACATAATATTGTATTATAACAAATACTGAAATGTAAATTAAGAGTCATTAAAAATTAACATTGAACTTGTACACTAATCTTTACACACAATAATACACTAAACTTCACAATTTACTATTTTAAATGAATATAAATACTACAATTATTTTAATGCATAGAATTAAAATAATGTATTTCCTTTTGATATTTATTCTCATATTAGACTACAGTTATTCAATCATATCCTCTACCTCTCCAGAAACTGCAAGATTGTAAAATTTATGATACTGTGACGTTTTGTGATTCGCTTCAGTGCTAGAACATCTTTTATCTTTGCAGAATCAATACCAGGGTCTATTTGTAGGCAGGAATGTGTTCATGTGAAACTGATCTCCCACATTGCTGATAATGAACATTGATAATAGATCTCAAAGGATCAGAAGAGATAATAGTTATTCTCAAAACTGGTAGTATATTTACTGAAATAAGGTGTTTCTTTTTTATTTTAATTTCCTTCATTTCATTTCAAATAACTTTTTTAATCCTTTTTATTTATATTAAAGTTTGATCCACAAGAAGTCGGATACAGAGGATATTCATGATCTGAAAAATCTATTTCATTTATTTTAAATGGCTCACCAGTTTTCGCCATCTGAATCACTGTCACCTTTTGACCAGGAACGTAGGCTTTCCCCTGAGTGCACATATTTAACAAGCAAGTGCATACGATCTGCTTCTTTCTGTGTGTGGCCAGTTATAAAAGATTGTGTTTGGCAGAGACTGTTATACAAACTAGAAACATCACCAGGTGTACCAATATTTGGGAATGAAATATAGCTTTTTAATTTATATTACATAATATTTAAATATAATATAATATTATTACATGCACTAATGGCTGTTTAGAATTATTGAAACAAGCAACATCATAAAAAATATTTTAATTTAATAGTGACATAAAGGTTCAATACGGCTATATAGAATTAATAGTTCCATTTATATTACTTGCTCCCATAAGGATACAACTGCCTACATTTTTTACTAACAACTTCTGGCAATATACTAAAAAAAATAATTTTTTTCTAATAAGATGGTATTATTTACTCAGTTTATGAAAGTTTAACACACATGGCCCTCTTCTCCCCAAGATGCAAAATGTCTGGCTCATATTAACTACTTTGCAAGCAGTTAGTATCAGCCAAACATATATTTGTTTTCACTTTGAATTCATACTGCATTGAATAAAAAGGAGTTAATTGACACATCATTTCCTAAAGGGAAGCTTTATTTCTAAGTTGCTGAATTGAAAAAAACAGGATACTTTGCAATGAGTTTTTATTATGATTTTGAAGTGTTGTAGGTTGAATTCAGCCCACCAGACTGAAATTTAAGTACCCCTGCTTAAGTAGTTTCTGCTTAGTAGCATGACTTGCAAACACACTCACACATTCACAGAATACAATGTTGGTACTGTATAATCTTATTTCAGGGAAAGTTCTCAAACAACTTTCTCAGCTTTTCTTTCTTCTCATGATTGAGGTTTCACTTACAGCTTATGAAGACATATCCTAATATTGACATGTAAGGGAAGAAGTGAGCCTTTCAAATCTGTCTATGATTTTCAAGTTTCTCAGTCACAAATTTGAAAAGTATATTCCAGTTAGTAATGATATGTAGCATTCTTTACTACTCTTGAGATGTAAATAAACTTTGTCACACAAATAAATTGAGAAGTTTTATAGGTAATATCAGAGTACAAAATGAACAAATAATTTATCATTATGAATTTGGTCTTCATTTCTGCTAACTGAAATGTCACTGATAGTTCTCATAGAATTTTTTTCATAGTGTATAAATTCAGAAATCTTCCATTACAAAAGGTTTTTTGAGAAATGTATTTAGAGACAGAAAGAAGAGTTAAAGGTCATTTAAAGTTGTGATTAATTGTGATGTGGTAGATAACTGCTACTATGCTCCAGTGGAAGTTGGAGCATGTTGTATGCGATGAGAAATGAATTTAGTACTTGTAATAAGTTCCTTTCAGCTTTTTGTGGGGTCTCAATCAGGTCTCGCATCCAGAGGCAATTTATCGACTTATTGAATAAAGGATGAAAAAATATTTCGTAAGTTAACAAAAATATAATATAATATGACATAGAACAACACCAAAACTAGTGACTTTTGTTCATATCTGACATTTAAACTAAAAAGTCAGATATGACATATTTTTAATCCAAAAAAATTACATGATGCCTAATATTAAGTTGAAGATGGAAAACAAAAAGAAATCCACTATTTGAAATGGCATATGAAGGTTTTCAAATGAGCAATAACTGTGTATTTACGAAAAGGAGAATAATTCAATAAAATGAGAACACAAAATTTTATTTGCCCTTATCTATCAAATGTGACACTAGAGTTTCAAATACTTATGTGTTCTTTGCAGCACTGGTGAAACTTTCTCGGAAGATTGATGTCAGTGGTGAACACATAAAGCCAGTGTGTTTACCACACACCATGTTAGCTCCTTCTGCCTATGTGACATGTGTGGCCACAGGCTGGGGTCATGTTAGTCCCAGAGGATCTCTTACTGCAACATTACTTCAAGCTCGAATTCCTCTTCATGACAGTGCATTATGTAAAGCAAAGTACAAAGGCATAGTTACCATTCTTGCGAGTCACTTGTGTGCTGGTCAACTTGATGGCTCAACAGGTACCTGTGTGGTAAGTGTATCTTTGATATCTTGTCAGCTATTTCTTAAGTGGTAAATAAACTGTTCCAGAGAAAGAAGAGATCTGAACCTCTGAAATGGGCAATAATGCACATGTTATAGGAGTTTACAAAAGAAATAAAATAGTATTGAACAAATTGAGAGGTAGAGCAATATTTATTCAGTTGGCTTTCAATATTCTGACAAAATTCAATTAGAATCTTTTAACACGTGAAACTTAAATTCCTTGTGTGCTTGCTTGGGATTCTAATGTTTCTGAAAATGAGTAGGGTTTAACTCAAAATTTACTTTGGAATAATACATTTTTCATTAATATATTTTCATATTATATTTCCCCCTGAAGATTGATAAACCTAACATTTGAATGTGACAATTTTATTCTTTTAATTGATAAAAAAGAAATTCTACAATACAATGAAGAGGATCAGTGTACTTCCAATTGATGTAATGACCATTAATACTCATTTCTGATGACATGAAATTGCATATTTCAGGGGGATTCGGGTGGCCCTTTGCAATGCAACATGCAAGACGGACACTGGTATTTAGCTGGCATCACGTCATTCGGCTCAGGTTGTGCAAAACCTGGTTACCCTGATGTTTATACACATGTACCTTTCTATATTTCATGGATTGAAGACAAGTTAAAATTGTAATTTATATTATCATTGCATTCTTAAACATTGTGCAAGTTTTTTCTATATGAATTCAATGACAACCGATGTGGTACAGAAATGCGCTTTCAGAATTAATTTAACTGATTATTAGAGTTTATTTCATACTATTATAATTACACAGAATCAGTATGACAAATAGTGATTGTAATGATTTGAAATGACTAAAGGAAAAGAACAAAAGGAAACCAGAAAATATTTGCTAACATGTATTTATTTTATATTTACACATATAATAAAATCAGTCATTTTTTTCTCTGCAGGCAGAGAAAAGACAAAAATTGTTTGCCCTAATGTTTATGAATTTCAGATACTGTGTTCATGTTGTAAAATATTAATTTTCACCAAATGCAAAGGAAATTTCAAATATAAGTGTCTCTAATATATCAAACTATTCATTATAAATTTAAAGTATTTGGCACATTTTTTCTTTAAACATGTGTTATATTTTTACTTACAAGGCAAATTGTACTTCCAATATCTCATATTTTGAAAATCATTTTGATAAAATGCTTTAGGTCGCATTGAGTTTACAAGAACATTTTGAGATAGGAAAGCTAGGAACATGAGAACTCAAAGAAAAATTTCATAGCTACGAGGCATAGAGAAAATATCTCTGCATTCTTATCATGAAATTAAAAAATGTAGATTTTATTCTGGAGCACTTAAAAGGTATTAACATGTGATAAATTAGCCATACATTCAGTCAGTTTCAGTAAGTAATATCATAAGTACTAGAAATTGAATATTTATATTAAAAAATTCTCTCAATGTTTTCTGCCCAAAAGTAGATATTTCATGCTGGTAATAATATATGTTTAACATTCATTTAATAATACAATTTAAGTGGGAAAATGTATAAAAGTGAAGCAGAATCATTTCTGACTATATATTCTGGCTACAGTTCAACGATACAAATTGCACAATTGAGTATTAAATTACTAGTTTAATTAAAAAAATATAATGCAGTAGAATAATTGCAGAATGGAAGACAACAATGTTGGAAGTTACTATTACCTTCTGATAGCTTGACAACCACACTAAAATACATTCACGTATGCTTTTCCTTCGCGATGAAAGGAAACAATGCATCATCTAGGTGTATTTAAAATGAGAAAGAAACTGTTAGTAAGCAATTGCTTTTTATGCCTATGAAACTGTGTCAAAGGCCTCTACAAAGAAATCTAAAAAGAAACTTGAAATAATAAATAATCTATAGATCTGGAAGAAAATAATACAGCAAACACCATGCAGCAATAAGAGAATATTATGTGAACATTATTTTAATATGAATCTGACAAAAGTTACATCCTAAAGCGAAAGTAATACATCAGAATACTAGGAGAAATATTTTACATCATGGTTAAACTACTAATTCACACACCAGAATTAACATACAAAATATTTACATGCTAAAATTTTTTCTTCGCTTCTCCTCCTGCTTCTTTGGCTCTCCGGAGTGCTTCAGCTGCTTCTTTTAATTTTTCTTCATAACGTTCTGCTATGCCAGTAGGTCCGGTGAGCTTGCCAAACGTGTCCCTCCCAATAACAAACATGTTGACAACAAGACGGGCCGCTTTACGCACTGGGTAAGAATCAGCCAATCGATTTATAAGTTGTTCATTGTTAACCAGATAATGAAACAGCCACCGAAACACCATTTTCGCAAATGTTATGCTTTAGGTATTTCAAATGTGCACATCGTCCGATACTTGCGCAATAATTCCTTTTTTAGATGGAGTTGTTTTCTCAGAGTTTCAAGCTTTAATAATTGCTCTTCTTTGCTATATTCTACTCCAGGCAATCTGCGAACCTGACTTCGGGCTTCGTCGAATTTCTTCTGCAATTCCAAAACTTTTTGGCTGACGTCTTGAGACTCGCGGTTTTTCTGAGTTGTATCGTGAGGATCTCGTTCAACACCTCTAATTATTTCGTAAATCAAAGGAAGGAATTCAACATCCACCTCATCAACAGTTAGAGGAGTTGAGAGAGAGGAACAGTTTTGGTCACCTCCATCCATTATAAAGCGTGCTTCTATTGCACATCTACACACTGTCTTTCTTTCTCAAAAAACATGTTCTTGTTTGACAAACATTTTTATGATGGTCACAATTTAGAAGCACGTTTGCGAGTTTAAAATATTAATAGATTCGGAAGAAAATTAATGTTTTAACGAATTACAGCTGTTGCCTCCGAACTAAATAATTGGGAATTATTAAATAACATAACACTCAGAAATTTCACTAATCACCAACATTGAAGTTCCAGACGGATGCTCTCCACTTTCTCACCAAAATAGACGCCGAAAATATGAAGGAACATATAAGTAATCGAGGCACTGCCTGCTTGCACGAGGTAAATGGCTATCCATTGCGAACAAACTGTTTAAGGTTGTTTCGCTCAGATTGTATTTCGTTGTATTGGTTGTCTTTGCACCATGGTTTCACTTACAACGTTCGTTAACACCCGCGCTATCTATACGCCATTCACAGAATCTCAGATCTCGAATGAATTGATCTGCCATCTGGTGAGCTTCGCAGTAGTTTAACCCATTCAGAACCGACTATACTCCAATTTTTCTTTAGTAGCCGATGATATTAGGTCATCAGAGAGTATGTAGTAGTTAGGTCATTGTTACACCCCCTGCAATAAAAATAATAATGAATTAAAATGAAACTGAAACTCCCGAAATTAATCTTTTTAAGAGTCGTAACCAGAGTGAGACCACGAGCCCCGTTGAGGACGTTTGCGAGTTAATTAAAAATATAAATTTTATAAGGCAGGAAGTGTAACAATGACCAACAACAATATCCACTACAAAAATCTCGAAGTATAATTCAATTGGAGTTTACATTCTCTCTCCATATCCTTTTCATTATTATTATTATTATTATTATTATTATTATTATTATTATTATTATTATTATTATTATTATTATTATTATTATTATTATTATTATTTATTATTATTATTATTATTATTATTTATTTATTATTATCTTACATTATTTCACAGATCTACTGTCGTGGTATGTCAACCACACACAGGTTATGATGACCAGGTGTTGTGGTTGCTTTACTGAAGGTTCGATTGGCTTCTGACAATACGGCAAATGTATTCAAAATTTACTGTCCTTTTTCATATTTATATACATTCCTGGTATCCAAGTGAAGACACTCAGCTGCCCGAAGTGTTCATGTCGGAGTATCACTCCGTGTTAGCTGATATTATTATAGGGCACAGTTGCTCACTTTACTGAAGTTCCACTGAGTTGCCGACTTCATAGGCAAGATCGGTATACTCTGAATCTTCTCTTGATATTTTCCCCATATGTTGTGGGTATTGGGATTGATTCATCCGATAAGGAAAACCTGCTGTTGGTTTTTATCATGTACGTTAATCGGGTGCGTGAGTGTGCCGCGACATGTCTGTCAGTTGATATGGAAACGATTCCAGGTAGCGGATGTGTGCTCACTACTTTCAAGCACATCTGAGGGCACATAATTTATAATGCCGGCCACGGAAGTGGCGAGTTAAGCCCAGTCTCAACGCAATAATTGCGTGTACCTGCTTTCGCCCAACTTCATTCATGCCTCTTTTTGTATTCCACCTGTGCGTGGCTGCTACATCCACTTGTCACGTATGTTGGATAGTTTCGCCTTGCAGCCGCACATCTTCTTCACGAGTCGGAATGAATAAGTAGAATGTCTCAGAATGCTGTTTTCTGTAGTTCAATGTTACGGTACCACTTTGTCCTGCGATAGCCTTACATTGAAGGCTTCTGTCTCCGGAAAGAGGATCCCCGTGCTAGGAGCCCATTGCGTGCGGAACGCAGAGATGTCGACTTCTGGTTTACCAGCTCGGAGGCGTACCTTCCATGCAGTGCCTTAGCTTTCCATAAGGTTATCTTCTCTTCCGTTTCAAGGATTTGGTTTGAACAGGCGGATCCAAGCTAGTTTCAAGTTCAGAGGACTAAGTTATTTGCAAACTGCGCTCACTGCTTGCTGAACTTTCCCACAATGTTCAAGAAGTATTTCTGAGTGAAAGCCATTTAAGAGCCTGTGTAGTTTATGAGATCTACATTAACCTCGCCCTCCTTGCCGAACCTTTGGAAGGGTTAAAAACGTTCACTACTTGAATGGAGGATTGATGTTTCGTGTGTTGAGTGTATATATAGCGTATATGTATATATGTATGTATTATATGATGTATATATGATGATATGTATTATGTATGTATATATGTATGTAAGATGTATTATTATATATGTATGTATATATGATACTATTGTATATATGTATGTATATATGTATGTGATAATATTGTATATAATATATATATATGTGTTATATATGTGTATGTTTATATTGTATGTAATATATATGTATGTTATATGTATGTATATATGTTGATATATGTAGAGTATATATGTATATAGTATATATGCTATGTATGTATGTATGTAGTGTATGTATTATATATGTATAGTATGTATAGTATATGTATTAGTATATATGTATGTATTATGTATATATATGTATATATTTATGTATATATATGTATTGTATGTATATATATGTAGTAAGTATGTATATATTATGTTATATGTATATAGTATGTATATATATGTATATATGTATGTATTATATGTATGTATATATGTATATATGTATGATATATGTATATATGTATGTATATATGTATATATTATGTATATATATTATGTATGTATATATGTATATATATGTATATGTATATATGTATATATGTATATATATATATATATATGTGTATATTTATATGTGTATTTTATATGTGTATAGTAGTATATTATGTATGTATTATGTATGTATGTATAATGTAGTATATATGTATGTATATATGTATGTATATATGTATGTATATATGTATATATATGTATATATGTATATAGTATATATGTATATATATGTATATATTATATATATGTATATATGTATATATATATGATATATGTATATATGTAATATATGTATATATGTATATATATGTATAATGTATATATATGTATATATATGTTATATATGATGTATAATGTAATATATGTATATATATGTATATATATGTATATATATGTATATATATATTATATATATGTATATATATATGATATATATATATATTATATATATATATGTTATATATATGTATATATATATGTATATATATATGTATATGTATATGTATATGTATATGTATATATATGTATATATATAATGATGTATATGTATATATATATGTATATGTATATATGTATATGTATATTATATATGTATATGTATATATGTATATATATATGTATATGTATATATATATTATAATATATATATGTATATGTATATATATATATATATATGTATATGATAGTATATATATATATATGTATATGTATATATATATATATGTATATGTTAGATTATATATGTATATGTATATATATATATATGTATATGTAATATATATATGTATATGTATATGTATATATATATATGTATATGTATATGTATATATATATATGTATTATGTATATGTGTTATATTATATATGTATATGTATATGTATATATATATGTTTATATGTATATGTATATATTATAATGTATATGTAATATTGTATACATATATATTATATGTATATGTATATGTATATATATATGTATGTATTATGTATATGTAGTAATTATATGTATATGTATATGTATTATTATATTATATGTATTAATGGATATATGTAATGTATAATATGTGTATATGTATATATATATGTATATGTATATGTATATTATGTAATATATGTATATGTTATATGTATTATATATATGTATATGTTAGTATATATATATTAATCTCTCTCT